TCCCATACTCAACTCTCCCATGCTGCCCTCCCATACTCAACTCTCCCATGCTGCCCTCCCATACTCAACTCTTCCATGCTACCCTCCAATACTCAACTCTCCCATGCTACTGTTTCATATTCCCCCTCTTATATTTAACTCTCATGCTACCCTCATACTCAACTCTCCCATGCTATCCTCCCATACTACCCTCTTATATTTAACTCCCATTTTACCCTCCCATATTCAACTCCCATGCTACCCACCCATACTCAACTCTCCCATGCTATCCTCCCATACAAAACTTCCGTGCTGCCCTCCCATGCTACCCTCTCATACTCAACTCCCATGCTGCCCTCCTATACTCAACTCTTCCATGCTACCCTCCCATACTCAACTCTGCCATGCTAACCTCCCATACTCAGCTCTCCCATGCTACCCTCCCATACATAACTCATGCTACCCTCCCATACATAACTCATGCTACCCTCCCATACTGAACTCTCCCATGCTACCCTTCCATACTGAACTCTCCCATGCTACCCTCCCATACCTAACTCCCATGCTTCCCTCCCATACTCAACTCCCATGCTACCCTCTCATACTCAACTCTCCCATGCTACCCTCCCATACTCAACTCCCATGCTACCCTCCCATACTCAACTCCCATGCTACCCACCCATACTCAACTCTCCCATGCTATCCTCCCATACAAAACTTCCGTGCTGCCCTCCCATGCTACCCTCTCATACTCAACTCCCATGCTGCCCTCCCATACTCAACTCTTCCATGCTACCCTCCCATACTCAACTCTGCCATGCTACCCTCCCATACTCAGCTCTCCCATGCTACCCTCCCATACATAACTCATGCTACCCTCCCATACATAACTCATGCTACCCTCCCATACTGAACTCTCCCATGCTACCCTTCCATACTGAACTCTCCCATGCTACCCTCCCATACCTAACTCCCATGCTTCCCTCCCATACTCAACTCCCATGCTACCCTCTCATACTCAACTCTCCCATGCTACCCTCCCATACTCAACTCCCATGCTACCCTCCCATACTCAACTCCCATGCTACCCTCCCATACTCAACTCCCATGCTACCCTCCCATACTCAACTCCCATGCTACTCTCCCATACTCAACTCCCATGCTACCCTCTCATACTCAACTCCCATGCTACCCTCTCATACTAAACTCTTCCATGTTACCCTTCCATACTCAACTCTCCCATGCTGCCCTCTCATACTCAACTCTCCCATGCTACCCTCCCATACTAAACTTCCATGTTACCCTTCCATACTCAACTCTCCCATGCTACCCTCTCATACTCAACTCTTCCATGCTACCCTCCCATACTAAACTCTTCCATGTTACCCTTCCATACTCAACTCTCCCATGCTGCCCTCTCATACTCAACTCTCCCATGCTACCGTCCCATACTCAAATCCCATGCTACCCTCCCATACTCAACTCCCCCATGCTACCCTCCCATGTTATTCTCCCATACTAATCTTTCATGCTACCTTCTCATACTCAACTCCCCCATGCTACCCTCCCATGTTATTCTCCCATACTAATCTTTCATGCTACCTTCACATACTCAACTCTCCCATGCTACCCTCCCATATACAACCCTCCCATACTCAACTCTTCCATGCTCCCCTCCCATTCTACCCTCCCATATTGAACTCTCATTCTAACCTCCCATACTCAACTCTCCCATGCTACCCTCTCATACTCAACTTTCCCACGCTACCCTCCCATATTCAACTCCAATACTACCCTCCCATACTCAACTGTCCCATGCTACCCCCCGTACTCAACTCTCACATGCTTCTCTCCCATGCTACCCTCCCGTACACAACTCTCCCATACTATCCTCCCATATTTAACTCCCATGGTTCCGTCCCATTCTACCCTCCCATACTCATCTCTCCCATGCTATCCTCATACTCAACACTCCCATACTTACCTCACTCGCACGCAAATCTTTCTCCCACGTAACACCCATGTAGCTCCCTCCCACGCAATTCTCCCTCGTACGCAGCTCTTCCTCCCACACAACTCTTCCACCCACGCAACACTTCCTCCCACGCAACACTTCCTCCCACGCAACTCTTCCACCCACACAACACTTCCTCCCACACAACACTTCCTCCCACGCAACACTTCCTCCCACACAACACTTCCTCCCACGCAACTCTTCCTCCCACACAACACTTCCACCCACACAACACTTCCTCCCACGCAACTCTTCCTCCCACGCAACACTTCCTCCCACACAACACTTCCTCCCACACAACACTTCCTCCCACACAACTCTTCCACCCACGCAACACTTCCTCCCACACAACACTTCCACCCACGCAACTCTTCCACCCACACAACACTTCCTCCCACACAACACTTCCTCCCACGCAACTCTTCCTCCCACGCAACTCTTCCTCCCACACAACACTTCCACCCACACAACACTTCCTCCCACGCAACTCTTCCTCCCACGCAACACTTCCTCCCACGCAACACTTCCTCCCACGCAACACTTCCTCCCACGCAACACTTCCTCCCACGCAACACTTCCTCCCACGCAACACTTCCTCCCACACAACTCTTCCACCCAAACAACACTTCCTCCCACGCAACACTTCCTCCCACGCAACTCTTCCACCCACACAACTTCCTCCCACGCAACTCTTCCTCCCACGCAATGGTGACCAATTAGTAGGGACGGTGAAGCCAGCAACTCACCTTCATCGTGAAGCTGCCCACAACAGCCTGGTGGCTCCCAGGTTACTTCATCTTGAGGTTACCCTGAGATGATTCCGGGGCGTAGCGTCCCCGCGGCCCGGTCGTCGACCAGGCCTCCTGGTTGCTGGACTGGTCAACCAGGCTGTTAGACCCGGCTGCTAGCAGCCTGACGTATAAATCACAGCCTGGTTAATCAGGTGTATGCATCAGTAGTATCATATTATTGAGTAGTGTAAAGTATAAGTGTATACACCTAAGTGTATAATGTATATTGTTACTATATAGACATCGTAAACAGTGGTATGAGGTCATACATCATGGCGGTTATATTTCACTGTTAAGAATACAAAAAAATGTATTTGAAGATATACTTATGATTATTAATACATTGAACTTTTTAATACGGTGAACTTTTTTAATACAGTGAACTTTACAATCCACAATTCATTGGTACCTTCAATTACCTGTAGCTAATACAATGTCCTGTTGAACATTTGGTAATGGATCATACATTTTGAATTCCCCAGCATTGTAACATCACTATAAAATATAAACTAAATAATATATGTAAACAAACTACTTAAACTGAGTAACACTTCCTATCGGTTGCACTTAGTAACACTGTAATATGAGCGGACATATGATGGTTACACCGGAACCAAAGGTACCCTTCCAAGAATGAAATGCTACAGAGGATTAAAAAACGCTGCCACCATCTGCCTTTGACCATTGAGACTATATCAAGCAACGAGGCAAGAAACATGGCTTGACTTGGAGAGTACTTTCTATAACTGTCATTAATTATCGGACGGTTGTCAGCCCACTATATCCAAAAGGCTAAGAGGATTCAACAATTGACACAGACGGGAAATTTAACAAAAGTTTATTGAGAAAATTATGCTAATCACCACTATAAATCCTACTCTAACACTGGCCAATAGTTAAGAAATTTAGACATGGAACAAAATCCTCAGAGATCACACTTTACCTTAAGACCTCTGTCTCTCCCTCCGGTGGATTCACTGTCCCTCGCTGGCTGTGCGATGTTCTCACAGATCCACTCCTGACTCTGGTGTCCGGCACTCTGTCTCTAAGTCTCTACAGGACCAATATATACACCCCAAAAGGGGCAGAGGGGGAGATTTGCTCTTGCTACCTACACTAAAAATGTAAGAGGTCGGCTACACGTGCACAAACACTTAAGAATTTTTCCATCAAGCTTGTTTGACATTCACCATACACTGTTCAAGAGAGGAATTATTAATTACGTGTGGCTGACTTGTGACCTGACTAAAAGGGGATCATCCATGGATGTTTACACATAGGAATCTGGGGTCTAATTCCATTGCAATGTTTGACAAGAGTATCATGAAATATTACATACTTGAAACTAGCTGACTAAGACTAATCCAGCAATTTTTTATTTATCTACATACAAGATGATCCAGAGGTCATCTGGGTTGACCTCTTGGAGAAGGCTTCCCTGGGTGAAAACTCTAGGGGAGGGGGGGGGGGGGTCATGGGTGTTACAACATCAAAATTATACAAACTAATAGATTACGTAAATTATTTCACGTTTTAGAGAAATTTGAGTTGAGTTCATACAGAAATTCATGACAAATATATTTAAGATTTTTTAAATAGACATTTTAATAGAATAAATGAATTATTATTCATAATTATACAGGGATCATTTTACAGGCTCTGGAGGTGTGTGTATAGTCACCAAGAACATCTTTATCGCAGTCAAGGTAACGAATTTTAATTCCACATTTATAAATCTGTTATACAAAACTACATAAAGCTTTAATAACAAAATATTGTCGATTTTGTGGGTTATATAAACGAGATATTAGCTTCAAGAGCAGTTATGTTATTTTTGGTTTAAGCTCATTGTGTAGAATAAGCCTAGCCCGTTAGTGTTCCTTTGGGAACTTATTATCCAATGCATTTGGACTATTTTTTCATATAATAATAAAATACAAAGTAAATCTGTTTCACTTTAACTAATAAATATTTTCAGACAAGACGTAAAGAATAATCTGAGGAAATGCTTCCTAAAATTTTACTAACAGTATTTCATGACTAATCCAACGGAAAGCAGAGTGGTCTCTTCTGATTATAAGAGTTACTCCTCTCCCTCTCTGAAGTTTGACTTCATCATTCCATTATAATAAAAATATTCACTGATTCTAAACCAATATACATTTAAAATGCAAACATCACCAAATATATATTTTCTAACTACCCAGGCAGGGATCGTGCAAGGAATTAAGATGGCGATGCTGGTGAACATGTCTTTATACAGCCGGCTGCAACAGAAGGAGCTGTCGGAGGCTGACCTGCGCCGCTTCTGCTTCCCGCGCCCTCATTCCCAGCCCGGGAGAGCCCAACTCTTCAACATTGATCAAAGCTTCAACACTGTCATTCCGGGACGACGAAGTCGCAATTGCAGACGTTGTAAGACAGTGTACAGCATAGACAACCTTGGTCGGGTGCTCACTAAAGACACTTGTGCCCACCACTGGGGCAAGCTCTCCAGAACAGCCTACCCTTACTACTACTGCTGCAATTTGCCCCTCGGTTCCCGACCTTGTTCAACTGCTCCTCAACACGTTTCAGAGGAAATTGATCCTAATAATTTAACAGGCTTCATCAACACTAGCCTCAACAGCAGTGTGACTTCAGAAGCCATTTACGCCCTCGACTGTGAGATGGTATTCACCACAGCTGGGATGGATGTGGCAGCCATCTCTATCGTGGACTCCAACTGTCTGCTGGTGTACGAGACGTTGGTGCATCCCGACGACCCCATCGTCGACTACAACACCGAGCACTCGGGACTCTCCAGAAACATGTTTCAAGGAGTTTCGACTCTGCTTAAGGACGTCCACGCCAAGCTGCTCACACTGGTGGGAAGCCGGACTATTCTAGTCGGCCACGGCCTGGACCACGACCTAATGCGGCTGAAGGTGATACACGATCACGTGGTGGACACCAGTGTCCTCTTTCCTCATCCTCGAGGCTTTCCTACTCGAAACTCTTTGAACTTTTTAAAGGAAAGGTTCGGTGGGGGGTTGAGAAGCTCTAGCTATGGTCTGAAGTGTCGAGCAGACGCCGAGGCAGTCATGCACATTGTAAACAATATGAGGTAGGCTATAGCCTAAAGTGTCGAGCAGACGCCGAGGCAGTCATGCACATTGTAAACAATATGAGGTAGGCTATAGCCTAAAGTGTCGAGCAGACGCCGAGGCAGTCATGCACATTGTAAACAATATGAGGTAGGCTATAGCCTAAAGTGTCGAGCAGACGCCGAGGCAGTCATGCACATTGTAAACAATATGAGGTAGGCTATGGCCTGAAGTGTCGAGCAGACGCCGAGGCAGTCATGCACATTGTAAACAACATGAGGTAGGCTAAGTCCAGGAAAACCTGCACACCTCAGTTGTTGCTAACATCTAAAAAAAGAGCTTATTTTTGGTTGTTCAGAATGGTTGGTTTACTTTTGATCAGTAGGAACATTAAACTCGTAATTTCCAGTGCAAAAAAAGTATGATTTTTATTTTCTATAGAGCTAATGATTGGTTTAATTTTATTTTGATTAGTAGGCTTAACTTTTCAATTAACTACTAATTGTCAGTGCCAAATAAAACTAATTGTGATTAATTTTAAATTGTATCTGTGCATGCCAAAAACTATTAAGGACTTCCAAACTTGGTGACAAGGCATGATAATTGGTAAATAGTAAGAGTTTTAACTGAAGACAGTTAAACATAATTCTGATGTCCTGAAGAAACTTGTCCTAGTCTTAATATGCAGTTGTGTACGCTTGTGTTGTCACTAACTTGCAATTGTATTTAACTGATGAAAATGGTTTTACTGACATGGTTAACTACCCCACCTTGAGAAGCTGAGGTCAGTTAATGAATGTATATACATGGAAAGATCAATTCAGAAGATACAGCTGAGGAAAAGGTCAGTCAAGACAACCTTCCTCTACTAAGGTTAATAATACATAATGTACCTGACCTTCCCCAGAGATACAGTCAGTGAGTGCCTCAGAACTTGGTCAAGACCTGAAGCTTTGTTCTAATGTGTCCTCAAACTTGTACTTCTTCCACTTGGTCTTCTGTTATAAGGTCATGGATGGGACTTTTCTCGCTTTTATTACAACTATCATATCAACCTGTATGAGAATTATATAAATTTATGCTATAAGTATTAACAAACGTCAGTTGTTAATTTCTTTAAATCAGGCTTTTTTCATGATTAATACACGTAGTAAAAAATGTATTTTAACGAATGTCAGTTGTTAATTTCTTTAAATCAGAATTTTTTTATGATTAATACACAGTAAAATTGATTTTAACACAAGTAAATTGTTAATTTCTTTAATTAAATCGGGGTTTCTTCAAGATAATACACATACAAAATTATATTATTTACATTAAAGGAATTATTGTTCCATTTGGCCAATAAGTGAACAGTGTACTTAACGCAGAGCGTGAAGACATCAATATTTTCTCACTTTCCAAAAAAAAAAATTTTTATTTTTAACTGGCAACCTTACACGAAAACATTCTGTAAATTGTAGTAGAAATAAATTGTGTTTTGTTTGCACGAGTTTTAATTATGTAAGAGCTGCAATTAACACCAGGCTACAATATATATATATATATATATATATATATATATATATATATATATATATATATATATATATATATATATATATATATATATATATATATATATATATATATATATATATATATATATATATATATATATATATATATATATATATATATATATATAAAGTTAGATAAATATACACACATACCAAAAGAATAGGGGTGGTAGGAGAAGAAAATATCAAAGTGTTCAGTGAGGATCCACAAGGTCTTCTCTGAGTACTCTTTATTTTCTTCTCCGAGGCTATGGGTCGCTACACTTGCACCAGAGGTGGTACCCCTTCTAGGTTATATATATATATATATATATATATATATATATATATATATATATATATATATATATATATATATATATATATATATATATATATATATATATATATATATATATATATAATTTATTTATTTATTTAATTTATTTATATATATTTATAGTATTGTCCATGGCACTTAATTCGCATAGTTGGCATATCTGGCGGAGGAGGTTTGGCAGATGTGCACACACACACACACACACACACACACACACACACACACACACACACACACACACACACACACACACACACACACACACACACACACACACATACACACACACATACACACACACACACATACACACACACATACACACACACACACACACACACACACACACACACACACACACACATAGAGCGGATAGAGGTGTCTAGAGATGAAGTGGAAAATATGCTAAAGGAGCTCGGGAAGAACAAAGCAGCTGGCCCAGATGGCGTTTCACCATGGGTTCTGAGAGAATGTGCATCTGAACTCAGCATTCCACTTCACCTGATCTTTCAGGCATCCCTGTGTACAGGAATCGTAGCAGACGTGTGGAAACAGGCTAACATAGTTCCAATCTACAAAAGTGGCAGCAGGGAAGACCCCCTCAATTATAGACCTGTATCATTGACAAGTGTAATAGTGAAAGTATTGGAAAAGCTAATCAAAACTAAATGGGTAGAACACCTGGAGAGAAATGATATAATATCAGACAGACAGTATGGTTTTCGATCTGGAAGATCCTGTGTATCGAATTTACTCAGTTTCTATGATCGAGCCACAGAGATATTACAGGAAAGAGATGGTTGGGTTGACTGCATCTATCTGGACCTAAAAAAGGCTTTCGACAGAGTTCCACATAAGAGGTTGTTCTGGAAACTGGAAAATATTGGAGGGGTGACAGGTAAGCTTCTATCATGGATGAAAAATTTTCTGACTGATAGAAAAATGAGGGCAGTAATCAGAGGCAATGTATCAGAATGGAGAAATGTCACAAGTGGAGTACCACAGGGTTCAGTTCTTGCACCAGTGATGTTTATTGTGTACATAAATGATCTACCAGTTGGTATACAGAATTATATGAACATGTTTGCTGATGTTGCTAAGATAATAGGAAGGATAAGAAATTTAGATGATTGTCATGCCCTTCAAGAAGACCTGGACAAAATAAGTATATGGAGCACCACTTGGCAAATGGAATTTAATGTTAATAAATGTCATGTTATGGAATGTGGAATAGGAGAACATAGACCCCACACAACCTATATATTATGTGAGAAATCTTTAAAGAATTCTGATAAAGAAAGAGATCTAGGAGTGGTTCTGGATAGAAAACTATCACCTGAGGACCACATAAAGAATATTGTGCAAGGAGCCTATGCAATGCTTTCTAACTTCAGAATTGCATTTAAATACATGGATGGCGATATACTAAAGAAATTGTTCATGACTTTTGTTAGGCCAAAGCTAGAATATGCAGCTGTTGTGTGGTGCCCATATCTTAAGAAGCACATCAACAAACTGGAAAAGGTGCAAAGACATGCTACTAAGTGGCTCCCAGAACTGAAGGGCAAGAGCTACGAGGAGAGGTTAGAAGCATTAAATATGCCAAAACTAGAAGACAGAAGAAAAAGAGGTGATATGATCACTGCGTACAAAGTAGTAACAGGAATTAATAAAATCGACAGGGAAGACTTCCTGAGACCTGGAACTTCAAGAACAAGAGGTCATAGATTTAAACTAGCTAAACACAGATGCCGAAGAAATATAAGAAAATTCACCTTCGCAAATAGAGTGGTAGACGGTTGGAACAAGTTAAGTGAGAAGGTGGTGGAGGCCAAGACCGTCAGTAGTTTCAAAGCGTTATATGACAAAGAGTGCTGGGAAGACGGGACACCACGAGCGTAGCTCTCATCCTGTAACTACACTTAGGTAATTACACTTAGGTAATTACACACACACACACACACACACACACACACACACACACACACACACACACACACACACGCACGCACGCACGCACGCACGCACGCACGCACACAGCCCGTACCTTGTCAAGCACAAGACGAAGCTGGAAAAAGTCCAAAGGTATGCTACTAGACTAGTCCCAGAACTAAGAGGCATGAGTTACGAGGAAAGGCTGCGGAAAATGCACCTTACGACACTGGAAGACAGAAGAGTAAGGGGAGACATGATCACAACCTACAAAATCCTTAGAGGAATCGACCGGGTAAACAAGGATAAACTATTCAACACTGGTGGGACGCGAACAAGGGGACACAGGTGGAAACTGAGTACCCACATGAGCCACAGAGACGTTAGAAGGAACTTTTTCAGTGTCAGAGTAGTTAACGGATGGAATGCACTAGGCAGTGATGTGGTGGAGGCTGACTCCATACACAGTTTTAAATGTAGATATGATAGAGCCCAGTAGGCTCAGGAACCTGTACACCAGTTGATTGACAGTTGAGAGGCGGGCCGAAAGAGCAAAGCTCAACCCCCGCAAAAACACAACTAGTAAACACACTCACACACACACACGCGCGCGCGCTCACACACACACACACACACCACGCACGCACGCACACTGATGGAAGCCTACTAGTATACAGTTCACAGCAATGTTGTTAATAGTCACGTTTTCTGTGGTGAGAAACACAGACTGAAAGAAGACGCTTATGTGTATAAGCGATCACTGCCTGAACTCTTTGTTCAGCCAAATTAGTATAATTACTTGAACAAATATTACTCATTATATCTGAAATAAAATTATTTGAAATTAACATTGAACAAAATATTTGTGCTAAGGTCGGCGACCAAATCTTATAACTTTATAAAAAAAATGCCAACCCGTCCTCGACTCAAGTCCATTCCATCCAGCGGTCGACCCCACAGACGCAGTCATAAATTTTTACATGCTGTTCATTCAAAACGGGAATTTTCTCAAATATAAATTAATATTATAATATATTAGCATATTATGCATATATAGGCATAGGATAGGTTAGGTCAGGTGTTTAGGTTCTGTTGGCGATTAATTGTATTTGTAGTACGTGGGTGAAGCATTTACAGCGTTGTGGTTCGAACACCAGTCGTCAGTGAAGCACTTGTTCCGGAAGTGTTCGAACCTCATCAGTTGTGAGCAGCCCGTCCTCCAAACAAAGATCCAAAAGTGATTTCATGCACCCACCAAACCCCCTGTTTGGTGGGTGCATTGCTGTAGGCTACAGCATTGACATTGCTGTAGGCTACAGCAATGTCGCTGCGATCTTGTACCCTTATCACAAATTTCCTTATTTCCAACAAATACATGTTTCAGTGCGTGAACCACTGTATGACTGCAAGGTAAACAAGCCCTGTAAACATTTCAGCGATGAATGCTGTAACGTGCTTAGTGAAAGCAGCCCTTCAACGCTTGCTTCTGTAACTAGCTGTAATATAATCATTAATGAATGTTGGGTTCATAGCAGAGTTGGATATTCTGCTGTAATACGATAACTAACTTAAAATAACGCTAAAATAGACTGTTTAAACGTTAACAAATTAAACGTTAACTAGATCATCAATTCTGTAATTTACTTAACTAAAGGAAAATGGAGGTTCAGTCCCAGAATGTAAAATGTGTGTAAGGTTCCCGAGGGAGCCGGTCGGCCGAGCGGACAGCACGCTGGACTTGTGATCCTGTGGTCCTGGGTTCGATCCCAGGCGCCGGCGAGAAACAATGGGCAGAGTTTCTTTCACCCTTATGCCCCTGTTACCTAGCAGTAAAATAGGTACCTGGGTGTTAGTCAGCTGTCACGGGCTGCTTCCTGGGGGTGGAGTCCTGGTCGAGGACCGGGCCGCGGGGACACTAAAGCCCCGAAATCATCTCAAGATAACCTCAAGATTCCCTTGACGATGTTGGTCTCCGAATGCATGATAGAGCTGATAAGTTAGCCAAAGAATCTGCCTTTAAAGGAGCCGTTGAGTGCAACCTTGGATTGTCAATGAGCAATCTGAGAGCAGCAGTACACCGAGAACTTCAACAAGATCTTGTAGATCTGAGGCAAAGTGAAATTGACACCAGTAATTCCATCTATCATCATACTCTCATGCAAGAGGAGCCACACATCTATGGTTCATCCAATAAAATCAGCAGACTTCTAGATGTTACTATTGCTGTCAACAAAATTATTCGCACACCCTCCGTCACTATGTGATGGAGTGCGAAAAGATACGTGAATTCAGAGACAATTCTATAACCAATGTTCCAGCGATGTGTAAATATTTCATTCAAAATGATCTGCTACCAGAAATTTTAGCCAAATATCCCCAGTTTGCTAACTGTAGGTAGTAACTAAGTGATTGTAACCTATCCACCGCTGCCCACTGGATGGGGGGCGGTGTGCAGGACAAACATATCAATTGTGACACTAGCTCTCCACATATGTCAGTTGCTTAATTTAGAAACTGTACTTGTGGTCGATCTCGAACCCATTGTTGATGTGACGACTTATACTGAATTTTGTAACTAGCTCATCAAGATTGTAACTTGCTTAGCTAAATGAATTGTGGGGTTCAGTCCCTGAGCCCATTATGTGCCTCTGTAACCCTTTCCACTACCGCCCACAAGATGGGTATGGGGTGCATAATAAATGAACTAAACTAGTGCCAGTGCCTTCCAGTGACTTCCAGACCCTGTGCCAGTCAGTGCCTTCCACGTGCCGCCACTTCAACAGGTGAGTCATATTGATCATGTTATTGTTCAACACCGTAACAGACCGAACCATCTCACACAAGCAAAGTTCTCACGGAAATAAATTGACGAGCGTCCTAATAATTAAACTAAATCGAGGCTAAAAGCTATACAGTAAACCAAGCTGCTCCTGGACCGTGTACACAAGTTTTTAGCTTAAAACAAAGGTTCATTAAAGACTGAGCCGCCGCCCCAACACTGCCCCTGAAAGCTGTAGCATTAAACATTATGATATAGTGAGGAGACATTCACACATGGGACTAATAGAGCAAGAACTCGGGCAATGTGATGTTATAGTGGCCAGAATACGCCTGGGATATAGACGTATCTGGCAGCTGTATCAAAACCCAAATGTCGAGTACACAATGTGTCAACTTTATGATAGTGTCGAGTACACAGTGTCAAAACTTTGTTATAGTGTAGAATACACCCTGTGTCAACTTTGTGATAGTGTAGAATACACCATGTGTCAACTTTGTGATAGTGTCCAGTACACAATGTGTCAACTATATGATAGTGTCGAGTACACAGTGTCAAAACTTTGTTATAGTGTAGAATACACCCTGTGTCAACTTTGTGATAGTGTAGAATACACCATGTGTCCACTTTGTGATAGTGTCCAGTACACAATGTGTCAACTTTGTGAAAGAGAAAACATGGACTCCCTTGAACATTATATTGTAGAATGTCCCATACTGACTGACTTTCGCCCTCCTGGGCTGAGGTATGCTGAACTCTGTAACTACTATATGAATACTGGAACACTTGATGATATATTGGACTTGTACCCAAGATTGACTATGTAATGCATATGTTATACAATCCATTGTACCTATACAATATGCAATACATCTATTATACAATTGAAAACTCACACCCCAGAAGTGACTCGAACCCATACTGCCCGGAGCACAATGCAACTGGTGTGTACAGGACACCTTATCCACTCGACCATCACGACCGGACAAAAGCTGATGGTAGCCGAGGCTATTTGCCCATCAGCCCGCCGGCACTCTGATGGTAATCTTGGGCATAGTATTTTATCAAATCACCTCATTCTTTGGGGCACACGTTTGAAACACAAATGCGAACAAGCCTGAATGATCCCCAGGAATATATGCAACTGAAAACTCACACCCCAGAAGTGACTCGAACCCATACCGCCAGGAGCAATGCAACTGGTGTGTACAGGACACCTTATCCACGAACCCACTTATATGGGTTCGAGTCACTTCTGGGGTGTGAGTTTTCAGTTGCATATAGTCCTGGGGACCATTCAGGCTTGTTCGCATCTATTATACAATGTATGTACCCATAACCTGAGCTTGTAAAAACAGCTTAATCACCTTCAGTGGTTAAGTGTTCAATATCACACAAGTTTCTATAAAAACTATCTTACCCTGTCAAAGTAGGAGAGACATAGGTGTATGTATATGTATGTGGATATGTGTAGGTATAAATATATACGTGTATTTGTATACAGGGTTGGTGGAAGCTGCTCAGAATTGCATTTCACCTTTGTAAACACACATTAATGACACTATGTAAAAGACACATTAAACACTGTTTATGTAGGACAGACGTAAATCTGTGTATTTACGTATGTATGTTAGCTTAGCATTTTAAAAGCATTACAATCACCTTCTGTGGTTGATTGTTCAATAAATCCCTGAACTATATGTTTAACAGATCTCTCACCCTGTCCATGGAGGACAGAAGAAAATGTATATATGCTGATTAGCTTTGTAAATGTCTGGCCACGTCTGTGGTATAAAAAAAAAACTACTGCCCCTGATTCACTTGCCAGCGTATATTCATTATTATTGTTGTTGTATTTTAAGAAGCATTACAACATTCTAATATTACAACTTGAGCTAGAAACTATAATACATGTTTCTAAAAATCAACCATCTTACGTCCTTGATATCAAATCCACAAACACGATAATAATAATAATTGTGTTCATACAATGGAGTGGACATGTTCACATGGTTACATAATAGATTGTAATAGATTAAGTAATTGTATAAACCACCATTAATACGAACTAAGGTAAGCCTCAAAGTGAACTAGAAGGATAAACGCCTACTCAGACGGTAGGCGTATTCTTTAAGTAGGTAAAATCCACTTTTATTTTTAATTCGGAAAATCTTACTTTAAATAATAGAAAAAAATCTGAAAGTGTGCTGTTAATAACTATACATTGTTCAAGATATAATTGTATACGCCATAGAGTTTAACATTATGAAAAAACCCGGAAGGTGAGCAGTGACGTATACCCCCCACGGTGTCAAGACTCGCACTGATCAGTGACACTCCCGGTGACATATGGTCCACACAAGATGCCAGGACTCGCCAGAACAATAAAGATTGACAGTAAGAAACTTTAAATAAGTTGACCAGACAACACACTAGAAAGTGAAGGGACGACGTCGATGAGCGTCACTATGGCGGTGTGTCCACTCACAGGATGAGTGGCGCTGCCCAATACTGTCACTATGGCGGTGTGTCCACTCACAGGATGAGTGGCGCTGCCCAATACTGTCACTATGGCGGTGTGTCCACTCACAGGATGAGTGACGCTGCCCAATACTGTCACTATGGCGGTGTGTCCACTCACAGGATGAGTGGCGCTGACCAATACTGTCACTATGGTGGTGTGTCCACTCACAGGATGAGTGGCGCTGCCCAATACTGTCACTATGGCGGTGTGTCCACTCACAGGATGAGTGGCGCTGCCCAATACTGTCACTATGGCAGTGTGTCCACTCACAGGATGAGTGGTGCTGTCCAATACTGTCACTATGGCGGTGTATTCACTCACAGGATGAGTGCCGCTGCCCAATACTGTCACTATGGCGGTGTGTCCACTCACAGGATGAGTGACGCTGCCCAATACTGTCACTATGGCGGTGTGTCCACTCACAGGATGAGTGGCGCTGACCAATACTGTCACTATGGTGGTGTGTCCACTCACAGGATGAGTGGCGCTGCCCAATACTGTCACTATGGCGGTGTGTCCACTCACAGGATGAGTGACGCTGCCCAATACTGTCACTATGGCGGTGTGTCCACTCACTGGATGAGTGGCGCTGACCAATACTGTCACTATGGTGGTGTGTCCACTCACAGGATGAGTGGCGCTGCCCAATACTGTCACTATGGTGGTGTGTCCACTCACAGGATGAGTGGCGCTGCCCAATACTGTCACTATGGCGGTGTGTCCACTCACAGGATGAGTGGCGCTGCCCAATACTGTCACTATGGCGGTGTGTCCACTCACAGGATGAGTGGCGCTGCCCAATACTGTCACTATGGCGGTGTGTCCACTCACAGGATGAGTGGCGCTGCCCAATACTGTCACTATGGCGGTGTGTCCACTCACAGGATGAGTGGCGCTGCCAAATACTGTCACTATGGCTGTGTTCACTAACAGGATGAGTGACGCTGCCCAATACTGTCACTATGGCAGTGTGTCCACTCACAGGATGAGTGGCGCTGCCCAATACTGTCACTATGGTGGTGTGTCCACTCACAGGATGAGTGACGCTGACCAATACTGTCACTATGGTGGTGTGTCCACTCACAGGATGAGTGACGCTGCTCAATACCGTCACTATGGCGGTGTGTCCACTCACAGGATGAGTGACGCTGCCCAATACCGTCACTATGGCGGTGTGTCCACTCACAGGATGAGTGACGCTGCTCAATACCGTCACTATGGCGGTGTGTCCACTCACAGGACGAGTGACGCTGACCAATACTGTCACTATGGTGGTGTGTCCACTCACAGGATGAGTGACGCTGCTCAATACCGTCACTATGGCGGTGTGTCCACTCACAGGATGAGTGACGCTGCTCAATACCGTCACTATGGCGGTGTGTCCACTCACAGGATGAGTGGCGCTGACCACTCATCCTGTTTTTTTTTTGTTTTTTTTTTATTATTTTCTACCACAGACTCATCCTGTGAGTGGGCCCTACCTTCCTAACCGTTGAATGTCTAGTGTACTATATACAATACAAACTTGTATGCACATCCCCCAGGATTTAAGCCGCCGTTGAAGGAGAGGAGAATCATTACCTGACAACACAGGATAAGATCGTCAACATAGAGAGTGGAAAAGACGCCAGAAGGAAGGGAGGAAAGAAGACCGTTGAGGGCAACTAGAAAAAGAGTAGTGCTCAGAACACTACCTTGGGGAACACCCTCATATTGCTGAAAAGGGGAAGAGAGAGTGACACCAAGCCTCACTTGAAAGGAACGACGAGAGAGGAAACTTTGGAGGAAGAGAGGGAGATTCCTACGAAGGCCAAAAGAATGAAGTTGGGACAGAATATGATACCGCCAGGTAGTGTCGTCTTTTCCAGGTCAAAAAGGACGGCAACAACGGAGGTCTTCGCAGCAAAAGCAGTACGAATATAGACCTCCAAGTTCACCAGGACATCTGTAGTGCTGCGGCACTTGCGAAAACCAAATTGAGAAGGAGAGAGATGGTGATAGCACTCTAGGAACCACATCAGACGAACGTTAACCATACTTTCAAAGAGCTTGCAGACACAACTCGTGAGGGCAATAGGGCGGAAGTCCTTAGGGAATGTCCCGAGAGAACCTGGTTTACAGACAGGGAGGACAACGGCATCGAGCCAGTCCTCAGAGACTGACGACGACTCCCAGACCCGATTAAACAGACTCGGTAAATACCGAGACGTGCACGAAGAGAGATGGCGAAGCATCTCATAATGAACGCCATCGGAGCCCGCCGCTGTATGACACTTATTATAAATTCCCACAACGTTTCGAACCTACATGGTTTATTCTCAAGTGATGGGACGGTACTGGACGTATTTGATTAATGCTATTAGGGAGGTCAAGTACATTATACAAAGAGGTGAAGTGTACGGTATAAAGGAGGGAAGAATAGGGACATAAATGGGGGACGAATAAAGTAGAAAAAGGAGAGGAAACACATACACATGATTAATCAGGTGTAGTGGGCGTGGCATGTTGAGCAGTGTCTTCTACGTTGGCATCTTCATGTTTCAGTCTTGTTCTTACTCTCATGATGGATAGAGTGAATACAGTAGTTCCATTACTTGGGTATTTATGGTAGGTTGCTCGACTTTTATGTGGATTGCTTCAAGAATTTGTGATATTCTTACATCTTGGGTTTTGTCTATTATACAAATGTTTTTATTCAATATTTCTCTTGTTAGGGTGATGTCATGGGCTTGTCTCATGCGATTTCTGGGGGCACCAGATTGAAGATGACAGGTCAAATGTCTTGAGCTTGGTTAACATCATACCTATGTACTTAGATTAAAGACTACATCCTTCATGGGGGTAGGTGTATATATATATATATATATATATATATATATATATATATATATATATATATATATATATATACCAAGTTTGACTGCTGTAAAGGGTTCTTCGTCGGCTTTGGGCTATTTTTAATGAGGTCACACGAAACAAAAAAAATCACACGAGACAAGCCCATGACATAACCCAAACAAGAGAAATGTTGAATAAAAATACTTGCATAATAGACAAAACCCAAAATGTAAGAAGATTACAAATTATATATATTACATATATAAGAAATATATGTAGTAGATATGAGGAAAAATAGATGGGTTAGAAAGGCGGGGTCCAATAGCTAATAGCTCGATTCTGTAGGCACAAATAGTAAATACACATCCCCAGGAAGCAGCCTGTAGCCGCTGTCAAAATCACATTACCAGAAATAAGGGATGACAAAAGAGCAGTCACTGACAAAGGGCAGAAAGCACTAGTATAAAGATCGAAAATGTGCTTAGAATCGAGAACTGTATGTATGGGTAGCACAAAACATTCACTAGATAGTGTGACATTGTAGTTGCCAGAATTAGGCTGGGATATCATTACTTATGGGAGGTGGCTGCAGGTAACGATCCCCCCCCCCCCCCCAGCAGTGAACATTGCAATTATAAATTCTGTGACCATGAGCTAGGACACACACACTACACATTAATAGTGAACTCATACTGGGGTACTTGGGCGAATTAAACAATTTTTTTTTCATTTGTGAATCTTTGCATTCTATGGAATTATATAACATGACTGAAGTACTAAAACAATTTTTTGTTTTCTTTGTAGGTTGTAAAATACTGCAAGAGGCCAATGTCGGACGTGGCAAACACATTATATCAAAGCCTGCAGCAGATGACGCTGTCGGAGGATGACCTCTGCAGGTTCGGGTATCCACGACAACATTTAGAGACAGGGAAGGCTGTAATTCATAGCCCCGAGTGTCACTACAACATTCAATTTCCTCACACACGGATTTGTCAACGATGTAAAACTTCTTACAGTGTTGACGAGCTTGGGTACTCTACTACACCGAGTACGTGTGCCTACCACTGGTCCAAGCTGTCGACTGGCTCTGAGCCTATCTACTACTGCTGCCGTCGTAATCAGTTATCTCCAGCATGCTCGACAGCTCCACAGCACGTCTCTGATGGAATAGAACCCAATAACTTGATTGGCTTTATCAGCACACAACATAATAATTTCATAGGAAAAAAAGGAATCTTTGCCATAGACTGCGAGATGGTGTTTACCACAGCTGGGATGGACGTGGCAGCCATCTCCATTGTAGACTCCAACTGTGAGAAGGTGTACGAGACGCTCGTGGTGCCTGACGCCCCCATCATTGACTTCAACACTAAACACTCAAGCCTGACCAGACAACAGTTCCTAGGAGTTACTACACGACTTCAAGATGTCCACAACAAGTTACTCACGCTTGTCGACAGTCACACCATACTCGTAGGTCACGGGTTGAACAATGACCTGCTAAGGCTGAAGGTGATACATGATAACATCGTGGATACCAGCGTGCTGTATCCCCACCCAAGAGGGTTGCCCTTCAAAGCAGCACTGGTATTCTTGCAGAACAAGCACTTGGGACGGGGCCCAAAACACACGACAGGATTAAAGTGTCGAGGCGACGCCCAGGCAGCCATGAGACTCGTCCATCTCAAATGTCAGTGACGAAACTACATGCATAGTTCTTCATAATTAATTGGAATTTTGACCATTATTACAATTCTGTTATATTTCCCATATCACATACGTTTAAATTAATATTTGTAATAATACTTAAACATTATATACAAGAAGTGATGAAGTTTTAATTTCCATCAGATTTTTACTCTCCTTAGTAACTTTACATATTTAAATATGTACTGTGAAAGGGAAGTAACAGTGAGGACTAAGGTTCATGTTGGGCATGTTGCACTGTACTATATCAGAGCCAATTTGACATCCATGAAGAGTAGAAGCAGGAAAGATTATTAAAGAAGATCAATCTACAGGATTAGAGTCCCAAATATGACAGAACAGAGCATTGTTTGTGTCTGTAGACATAACACTTCTTTTGTGTTTTATCTGTCATTAAGTGTTCAGCCAATTTCACCAAAGTATTGGAGAGGACAAGAGGAGCAGGAAATAAGAGTACACACCAGCAGCGTCAGTGTGAATTAGATTACTATGAAGTGTGCTAGATTATTGAAAGGTGAGTTTTACATCAAGAGAAGACAGGGTATTAGTGATATTGTTTAGCTCAGAGATGAAGGAAGGCACGTCACAATGTTACTCGTGTTGGAAACAGGTTTGGGATGAAAAATGTATTTTAGCTTGAGAACAGGCAGTTGATATTTTGTGGTTTCCAATAAATTGGTTATATTTCAATATATATTTTTTAAATTTTCCAGGGAAACATTGTAGTGGATAAACAAATGAAAAGATGGCAGATCAAGCAGATAAAACATTTTACAAACATCTCAAAGCTCATAAGCTGTTGGAGAGTGACCTACGTCACTTTAATACCCTCGTACCAAGGAAACTCAGAAAGGCTAAGCTCAATTATGCAACTTAGCAAGCACACTGAGCTACTATGCCATTGCCCCTAGACCAAACAAGTGGATATATAAACATTGCAATTCTACGTTCCATATCAACAGTGTTGGATGTCCTGCAGTCACATCAGTGTGTGTATACTAGTATATTTATCTTATATTCTCATTCAAAAGGGTGACCATTCTTCAGGGCACTGGCTTACTTGAAGGATGAGGTCCTGAGATTCACCAACAAACCATTTTCGGGTATAAAATGTCGTGGTGATGCCGAAGCATGCATGAAATTAGCCCGTCTCAAGTGTGGTCAGCATATTTCAGCAAGTGCATTGAATCTACAAGTGACCTTAAATAATTTATAATTATGTCACATTAGTTTAAATATACAAGTACAGTACTGTAAATAAAAATAATAAATGCTTAATCATATCAAATACTGTACTGTAGATAGAAAATGCAATAAAACAACAAAATCACATTACCTTATAGCTTATTATAAGAATCTGAAACATAAAATAATAGTTCTCTTATTGATGACCAGACCACACACTAGAAAGTGAAGGGACGACGACGTTTCGGTCCGTCCTGGATCACTCTCAAGTCAGCACAACCGACTTGAGAATGGTCCAGGACGGACCGAAACGTTATCGTCCCTTCACCTTCTAGTGTGTGGTCTGGTCAACATACTTCAGCCACGTTATTGCGACTCATTGCCTGCAATAGTTCTCTTAGATACTAAAGCCATAGAAAATTATAGCTAAAGTCTTGAACAAATATACAGTATCTGTAAAATTAGTTGCTTAATATCATTCAATAAATAAGAAATGTTTCAATTAAAATGTAATTTAATTTTCTTTCTGTATTATCTTAGTAAATTTAATACTGTATTAGAAATAACAGATACCTGTAATAATAAAAATAATAAATGCAGTTATAAAGTATACATAGGAGAATGTTACAGTGGTTAATTAGTAGGTGCAGAAATTGTACATTTCACATCTTATGGAAGATATTAGCGAGGCCGGTCCCAAACCTGCACACAGATATAACATCACACGAGACCAGACGGCATGGCAGGATGTGCAGAATACCCCCATTGAAGAGCAGAGGTGCAATAGGTACTCTGAGAGAGAACTCTATCATCATCAGAGGCCTGAGACTGTTCAACACGCTTCCACCACACATAAGGGACATAACTGGCCGACCCCTCACAGTGTTCAAGAGAGAACTATCAACATCAGAGGCCCGAGACTGTTCAACACGCTTCCACTACACATAAGGGACATAACTGACCGACCCCTCACAGTGTTCAAGAGAGAACTATTAACATCAGAGGCCCGAGACTGTTCAACACGCTTCCACTACACATAAGGGACATAACTGGCCGACCCCTCACAGTGTTCAAGAGAGAACTATCAACATCAGAGGCCCGAGACTGTTCAACACGCTTCCACTACACATAAGGGACATAACTGGCCGACCCCTCACAGTGTTCAAGAGAGAACTATTAACATCAGAGGCCCGAGACTGTTCAACACGCTTCCACTACACATAAGGGGCATAACTGACCGACCCCTCAGTGTTCAAGAGAGAACTTTATAAACACCTCCAAAAGATACCTGATCAACCAGGCTGTGACTCGTGTCAGGCTGTGAGCAGCCATGTCCAACAGCCAGGTTGACCAGGCCATCAACCAGGCGACCTGGCCAGAGACCGGGCCGCGGGGACCTTGACACCCCCCCTCCAGAATCAATGCAAGGTAAGGTAAGGTACATAGACACTAATATGCACAGCATAAGTGACAGTGGTACCAGTCAAATGTTATGGTCTGGAGCCTCTACGTGCAGTATATCCATTGATGACTGACTTCTGCAGTATCTAAAGCTTTAGGTTAACCCCTGTATTGTGGCAATATGTTACACATGTATTTTACCCCCACCCATTGCACCAAGAGCATACAAAATAAAAATTATTTACTATATGTTTTCTTTATTAGTAATAAGAAATACCTGTATACTGTAATGAAAATAACTCTCCTTACACAGAGTTGGTTTGGCGCATTCACAAATTTATGATCAAATGTAGATTTGGCCAACGCTGGCAAGTTAGTAATTATCAAAAGAAGGCACCAAGCCGGGAAGGTTATGTAATACTGTACTATCAAATGTGCAGAATAATCAGAGGGCGCTAAATATCACCAAGGATGCCAATATGAGAACAGAAATGCATAAGGCGAACGATATCAAAAGTATCCGATGCACCAAGAATTCTATCGAGGGACAAGTGACAGTGAGGGACGGTCGGAAAGCAAGACACACGCTCGTCCTGGAAGTCGGGACATTCAACAAGAATATGCATGACTGTAAGATGGACAATAAGGAGCAGGGTGGCGCTCCATTAAATGTCCATGAGTTAAGCATGTATGGACGATACACAACCTTGCCAGAGCCGTTTCCCACCGCCGGTTACTGTGGTAGGAGGAAGGCCACAGTGACACACTACTCTCAGGAGTACGTAATTTGTTACCAGTAACAGAAGACCAACAACCCTGCCAATGGGCAAGGATGGAGGAATGAATAACTGGGTAAAAGTTGGAATAAGGAATATCTTTACGGGAGATGGGACAAGTGAGGATAGTTTCCTTAACGGCATCATCCGCACGCTCATTTGAAGAGACACCAATATGGCTGGGAACCCAGCAAAACTCTACTGTCTTAAATCTACTGGAGATAGGAAACAGCTAATGTTGAATCTCGACTACCACAGTATGGACTGGATTAAAGGACTCCAGAGCCATGAGGGCACTGCGTGAGTCAACTACCACCACAAAGGAGGATTGACAGTGAGAAAGCAGTAGACGAAGAGCATAGAGAATAGCATGAAGTTCTGCCGTGAAGATGCTAGTCTCCGGAGGCAGGCGACACATATAGGTGTGGTCAGGAAAAACAACAGAGTAGCCCACACTGTCTGCAGACTTAGACCCATCAGTGAAGACGGAAATGGAGAGGGAGTGTGAAGAAAATTGTTCAAGGAAAAGGCGTTTCAGAACTGTAGGAGGGGTAAAAGCTTTAGTGATGTGGATCAGGGAGTTAACAAATTTGGGAAGGGGCACCCTCAAGGCAAGGACGGAACACGAGGAGAAATATTGGCAATACTAACCGAAAGAGAATTTTGTAAGCGAGAAAACTGGATAGAAAGAGGGAGGTGGCAAAGGGGGACAGGAACTACAGGAGGGATAAAAGTCAAAGCACGTCATAGGCAAGAGTGAGGGTGTTGCCAACGCTGCAAAATTATTATATACATTACAGTATGCAAATCTAATACTGTATATAGTATTTTCTAATGCCGTCATTATAAATCACAAATTTCTTATCTATGTGTTGAAATTTAGCCAGGTACTGTAATCAATTAGGTTATTCAATACCATGTATATCTTGAGGTTATCTTGAGATGATTTCGGGGCTTAGTGTCCCCGCGGCCCGGTCCTCGACCAGGCCTCCACCCCCAGGAAGCAGCCCGTGACAGCTGACTAACTCCCAGGTACCTATTTACTGCTAGGTAACAGGGGCATCAGGGTGAAAGAAACTCTGCCCATTGTTTCTCGCCGGCACCCGGGATCGAACCCAGGAGCACAGGATCACAAGTCCAGCGTGCTGTCCGCTCGGCCGATCGGCTCCATGGGGATAAGTGCCATTTGATGGTATGTAATTTGTTATTGGTAGTAGCCAACTATCTGTCTTTGCAATGGATTGGTTCCTGGAAAATGGGACCTGCATCAGCGACTTCCTTAGTATTTACATCTAGAATAGAGGCAAAACTATTATAATTCCAACAACAACACTACTGTATTTTCCTTTCAGAAGGCAACCTGTCCGCCGGGAGAAAATCCCCTGGAGGAAATGATTCAAAACCACGATGTAATTAGTGTTAATTATCTACTCTCCACCCACAGTTAGGTTAGGTTAAGGTTACTTAGGTTAAGGTTTGGTTAGGTTAAGTTTTATTACATTTAGTATGTTAATACAATGTATTATTAACAATAATGAAAAATATGGAATTTAAAAACTATTTAAGTGTACCCAAGAATTTTGTTTACAGAAAACCAAATTCTTCAAACCATTGCAAAGAAAATGTGTTCAGCATATACTTTTTATATTTTAAACCAGAAATTTATAATACAATAAAGTTTTAACTTGAGTGTATTTTGTTTAGGACAAATAACCTCTGCCAATTACAGTTTGCATGCCAATTTGCCAGTTCACATGCCAGTCACTCTGCCAATTACAGTTCATGTGCCAATATACATGAAAACTATTACTGGAACTGTTATTTGCGTTCAAACCATCATAAATATATCAATAACTATCTAGGTGGTTTTTGAGGGGAGGGGGGGGGGAGAGATTTGGTCTCTCGTGGTAATGGAGTTGCTCTGAGAATGAGCTGTATTTGGAACAGGAAGCCAGTATTTATCAATGTACCCTGTAGCCACCTACTGACATTCCCAACAACACTTGTTAGGTGAACCGAGGCATTAGACAAAAGGAAACATGACCAACTGTTTCTAACCTGCTTGATGGGGCTCTAAGAGTTCTTCTACTCCCCAAGACCAGCCTTCAGGCTTGACTTGTGAGAGTTTGGTCCACCAGGCTGTTGCTTGAAGCAGCCCTCAGACCCACATATCCACCACAGCCAGGTTGGTCTGGCACTCCTTGAAGATGTCCATAGTTGTTCCGGCAATATTTCTTATGCTCGCTGGGAGGATGTTGAACAACTGTGGACCTCTGATGTTTATACAGTGTTCTCTGATTGTGCTCCTGCTCTTCACTGGTTCTATTCTGAATTTTCTTCCATATCGTTCACTCCAGTATGTTGTTATTTTACTGTGTAGATTTGGTACTTGGCCCTCCAATATCTTCCACGTGTATATTATTTGATATGTGTCTCGTCTTCTTTCTAGTGAGAGCATTTGGAGAGCTTTGAGACGATCCCAATAATTTAGGTGCTTTATTGTGTCTATGTATGTATGCCGTATATGTTCTCTGTATTCCCTCTATTTCAGCAATCTCTCCTGCTCTGAAGGGGGAAGGGAGTACCGAGTAGTACTCAAGATGGGATAGCACAAGTATAGTACAACCATTGTGATGGGATCCCTGGATTTGAAAGTTCTCGTAATCCATCCGATTATTTTTCTGGCCGACACAATATTTGCTTGGTTATGGTTATTGCTTGGTTATTTGCTCCCTAAACGTTAGGTCGTCAGACATCATTATTCAGAAATCCTTTACATGTTGCTTTCCTCCTATAGGCCACATTTGATTGTGTTTTGTACCCTGTATTATGTTTAAGGTCCTCATTTTTACCGTACCCGAGTACTGTACCTGGAATTTATCACTGTTAAACATCATGTTATTTTCTGCCCAGTCAAAAACTTTATTGATGTCTGTTTGTAGTTTTCCATTGTCTTCAGCAGAGGTAATTTTCATGCTGATTTTTGTGTCATCTGCAAAGGACGACCTTTATGAAACTGTGACTTGAATTTTTGTCTATACAGGTTTCTGATATGAGAAAAAGGAAAAGCAGTGGTGCAAAGTACTGTACCCTGAGGTACAGAGCTTTTAACTGTGCTTGGACTCGATTTTATTTGGTTGACTGTTATTCTGTGTTCTGTTCGACAGAAAATTGAGTATCCACCATCCTACTTTACCAGTTATTCCCACTGACCTCATTTTTGTGTGCTATCACGCCATGGTCACATTTATCGAATGTCTTTGCGAAGTCTGTGTATACCACATCTTCATTCTGTTTTTCTTCTAATGCCTCAGTGATTTTGTTGTAGTGGTCAAGTAGCTGTGAGAGGCATGATCTTCCCGCTCTAAATGCATGTTGGCCTGGGTTATGAAGGTCATTTGTGTCCATGAATCTGGTGACCTGACTCCTGATCTCTCTCTCAAATACTTTTATTATGTGGGACGTTAGTGCAATTGGACTATAATGCTTTGCCAATGCTTTGCTCTCTCCCTTGTGTAGAGGAGCTATATCTGCCGATTTAAGCACATCTGGTATCTCCCCCGTTACCTTGAGGTGCTTCCAGGGCTTAGTGTCCTCCGTTCCAAGTTCTTCCTCCACACTATACTGAGTGCCTGTGCTACTGGCACTTTGCATTTCTTCATAAATATTGAATGCCATGAGTCTGAACCCTGGGCAGAGTGCTTGGGCATGTTGTCAATTATTCTTTCAAAATCTGCCACGCTTGTGTTGATATCAGTTGATGTATTTACCAGGGTTTGGATATCTTGTATAAAGAAGTTGTCCGATCTTCCACTTTCATGCTGTTTATTGGAGTGCTAAACATTTCCTCGTGTTGCTTTTTTTAGGATTTCACTAAATTCTTTATCATCCTCAGTGTATGAACCTTCACTCGTACGAATAGGTCCAATACTGGCAGTGACATGGAGGCTTTGTTTTTGAATTTGCATATGTAAAGAAATATTTTGTTTTTATTTATTTCTTGAATTGTTTTTTGTTCTAGTTGCCCTTCTTCAATCTGATATGAATGTTTCAGTCTCTGCTCAGGGACTGAACCCAGTTCCCTTGGTTGTGAGCTGAGAACATAGATCACTGCTACTGGATACCTAGCAAAACTAGACAGTCTTATATCTGCTTAAGATGAAATGGAACATAGAAAAATACAGCTTTAGCCTTTGTAAGGCTAAAGTTTATTAAACTTTGTAAGCCTTTGTTTAGAAAACTTTGTAAGGGAAATTGCTAAACAAGGGCATATAGCATGTCAGATATACACTCAATAATTTTCCAACTACCAGCAATGCTGATTAAAAAAAAAAAAAAGATGGGAGGGGAGGGGGGGGGGAGCATATTATTAATCCAAATTGGATAGTCACCAATGTATATCTCAATTTTATCTGCTTAGTCAACCTTTCAATATGGATCAAAAACCAGTAGAATGAATGTTGAAGATGTTGCCTTAAGTATGGTCTTGGTCAGACACTGATATGTTTAGTGACAAGGAAGCATGAGCACCGAGCACTCATGCTGCATAATAAGCAACAAAATTTAAACTTTAGTACATTTGACCAAGCGTCAAGCGTTGAGGCAAGCATCCTATTATTTTCAAAGTTTGGGGCGACTCAAACAAGCGTCCTATTATTTTCAAAGTTTGGGACAACTCAGGCAAGCGTCCTATTATTTTCAAAGTTTGGGACGACTCAGGCAAGCGTCCCATTATTTTCAAAGTTTGGGACGACTCAGGCAAGCGTCCTATTATTTTCAAAGTTTGGGACGACTCAGGCAAGCGTCCCATTATTTTCAAAGTTTGGGACGACTCAGGCAAGCGTCCTATTATTTTCAAAGTCTGGGACGACTCAGGCAAGCGTCCTATTATTTTCAAAGTTTGGGGCGACTCAAACAAGCGTCCTATTATTTTCAAAGTTTGGGACGACTCAGGCAAGCGTCCCATTATTTTCAAAGTTTGGGACGACTCAGGCAAGCGTCCCATTATTTTTAAAGTTTGGGACGACTCAGGCAAGCGTCCTATTACTTTCAAAGTTTGGGACGACTCAGGCAAGCGTCCTATTATTTTGAAAGTTTGGGACGACTCAGGCAAGCGTCCTATTATTTTGAAAGTTTGGGACGACTCAGGCAAGCGTCCTATTATTTTGAAAGTTTGGGACGACTCAGGCAAGCGTCCTATTATTTTGAAAGTTTGGGACGACTCAGGCAAGCGTCCTATTATTTTCAAAGTTTGGGACGACTGGCATTACGATCTTTCCTAATCATAGCAAATCTTTCTACTTATACGTTGGACAAGTTTTTTCTCACGAAGCAAAGGTCCCTTTCCTGAGTAGTGTAATGTGGAATACAAATTGTCCTTCTCTCCTCCATACTGACTTGTCCTTAAAGATTTCACTTACAAGTGTTAAACACCATTGAAGTAACACTTGACAAATGGTTTTCCCATGTAAGCCTGGAAGTTAAGGGAGGAAATCAAAAGAGCTGCCACTTGCTTGCAGAAGAAATAAAAAGCCTGCCGTTTAAGTACAGTACTGTATATATGAGACATATCTTGTTGAATATGACCGAAAGGGTAAGATTAATGATTCTAACACAAAGCTCCTTAATATTTCTAATTTTTTCATCACTGTCGAGAGAAGTTGAAAAATTAATTCTCCAAAGTTCATTTTCACACTATATGAATTTTGGAGTTAATTTTTCAACTTCCCTCGACAGTGAAGAAAAACATTGGAAATATTGAGAAGATTCGTGTTAGAATCATTAATCTTACTCCTCCGGTCATAATCAACAACATATGTCTACAAGAAAGACTGCTACCAAAATGTACTAATAAATGAGATACTAAATAAGAAAAAAAAAAAAAAGCTTAGATATAGCATCTCACACTAGAGATGCTATACCGAGGATGATACTTTTCAAGATGCTAGTGCTCTCTAGAGTGGAGTACTGCTGCACAATGACAGCCACTTTCAAAGCTGGAGAAATTGCTGGCCTGGAGAGCATGCCGAGGTCCTTTACTGCTAGAATCCACTCAGTAAAACATCTAAACTATTGGGACCGACTAAAGAGCCTAAAGCTGTATTTTCTTGAGCGCAGGAGGGAGAGATACATAATAATTTACACGTAGAAAATAGTAGAGGGGCTGGTCCCAAACCTGCACACAGAAATAACATCACATGAGACCAGAAGGCATGGCAGGATGTGCAGAATACCCCCGTTGAAAAGCAGAGGTGCAACAGGTACTCTGAGAGAGAACTCTATCAACATCAGAGGCCCGAGACTGTTCAACACGCTTCCACTACACATAAGGGACATAACTGGCCGACCCCTCACGGTGTTCAAGAGGGAACTCGATTAGCACTCCAAAGGATACCTGATCAACCAGGCTGTGATTCATATGTCAGGCTGCGAACAGCCGTGTCCAACAGCCTGGTTGACCAATCCAGCAACGAGGAGGCCTGGTCGACAACTGGGCCGCGGGGACGCGTAGCCCCGAAAACATCTCGAGGTAACCTCAAGGTAAGGTAAGGTGGAGTGATGGAATATGACCAAATTTTATTTTTAAATTAAAAGGGTAATGTAGAGGAGAAAATGTATATTACCACCATGTTATGCTGCCGTGCCAGTACAGTATATCCCGAAAAGAGCTATTATCTGGGGAAAGGACCTAGATTTTAATCAATACACCAACACTGGTCACAAACATAAATGAAAGGCACAACCAATAACATTATTACTGAACCCTAGTCCGACAAGGAATTTGACTGCACAAATATCTCATATGCATATGCACTTGGTATATCTCATGCAACCAGTTAAAAAATTCCAGGAGAATAGGCCATGTTCGAGAATATTATAGACATCATATTTGGGAGTTACAAAAATATGTTCAAAAGATCAAATAAAAGATTTTGTGGTTCAGGGAACAAATATAATTAACGAAAACCATACTGTGGCGTTTCGTATAAATTTTGTGTTAGTGTTAGATCAACAGTACCATGACAGTTTTCACCTTACAGTATAATATTCATAAATTGTTCTTGTTTAATCTTGTATTTGCAGCACTATTTATTCATAGAAATACTAATGTAGGAGCGTAGTACCCATGTGAACATGAATGTGTAGGTTTAGTACTCTGCCCATAGAAACATGAATGTGGAGGCTTTGTAATATGGAAATATGAATTTTGAGGCTTAGTTCCCATGTAAACATGAACATGGAGGCTTAAAACCTATGAAAACACAAATATGGAGGCTTAGTTCCCATGAAAACATGAATGTGGAGGCTTAGTACCCATGAATGTGGAGGCTAAGTACTCATGAAAACATGAACGTGGAGGCTTAGTACCCATGAAAACATGAATGTGGGTGCTTAGTACCCATGAAAACATGAATGTGGGTGCTTAGTACCCATGAAAACATGAATGTGGGTGCTTAGTACCCATGAAAACATGAATGTGGAGGCTTAGTACCCATGAAAACATGAATGTGGGTGCTTAGTACCCATGAAAACATGAATGTGGGTGCTTAGTACCCATGAAAACATGAATGTGGGTGCTTAGTACCCATGAAAACATGAATGTGGGTGCTTAGTACCCATGAAAACATGAATGTGGGTCCTTAGTACCAATGAAAACATGAATGTGGGTCCTTAGTACCCATGAAAACATAAATGTGGGTGCTTAGTACCCATGAAAACATGAATGTGGGTGCTTAGTACCCATGAAAAATGAATGTGGAGGTTTAGTACCCACGAAAACATGAATGTCGAGGCTTAGTACCCATGAAAACATGAACATGGAGGCTTAATATCTATGATAACATGAATGTGGCAGCTTAGCACCCAGGAAAGCATGAATATGGAAGCTTAATACCCATGAAAACATGAACGTGAAGGCTTAGTACCCATGAAAACATGAATGTGGAGGAATAAACAGGGTGAGGGAGCTAGGAGGATTTATTCTTTCATATTGCAAATACCAATTTTCTACACTACCAGAGCAACCTCATTTTGTGACCTACTACACTATCAATTATTACAATGTCATTTTAAGTACAACTTGACCTGGTTTTCTTTCACCTTGCATATGCTTTTCCAGCCTTTGATATTTCCTTTTACTTCCTTACTGATTTATGCCAATCAGAACAATTCTACACCATTTTAACATGCATTCTTGCTTTTCATTTCAAGCAAGCTGCCTTCTTGAGATGATTGCAAAATTAGAATATAATACTCTTCAAGAAGCATTTCAAGTGCTCCCTAAATTACCTATTATTACTTAAAGGTGATTGAAATACTTGGATTGTCAATGATCTTACCCCTATGTGAATCTCCCAATAGAAACAAAATTAATAACAAAGAAAAGCTACATTTAACAAATATTCTCAAAATGTTTAATCCTTGTTTTATTTTCCTCCGAGAATGGAATTCCCTAACTTGCCAGAGATCAATATGTACAAGATCAGCTGCCTTGTGTACAAATACTTTAACATTAACAACACAGGTGTTCATAGGAAGGCTTCAAACATGTCTTATATAAAGTACTTCATAAAGTCCACAAAATATCAAACTCACACGACAGTAATGAGCACATGTGCACACAATAACATTTTCAGCACTTATTTACAACAGCAAATTGTTTTCAAGCCTAACGTGTACATTTTCCGATGAAAAGATGAAGATATTGTAATAATAAAATAATGAGCAAGTATAAACATTTGAAGTGGAATGCAGCAATCTGCCCTGCAAGGGTCTTTCTCTCATGCCTGGAGGAGATGAAGTGCTAGAAACCTGTAATGTTTGATTTAGCTAATGTGACAACAAAGTTCTGAGATAGGCAGTGCAGTTTATGGGAGCGGGACACAGTGCGACAATTCTGAACTATACAGCGGCATTCAGAAGGGAAGACAAGTGAGGGGGGGGAAAGAAGTGAAAGCTTCAGGAGTGGATGGAATAATAGCAGACATTAAAAGGTGGATTGGAGCACATAAGTTGTTTTTTTTAAAAGGTACAGAATTTGTATATAAATTTTTTTTATGTGCTGTCTCTGAGGATAAATGAAAAGTAAATAATAAATACAAATATTAGTGAATGAATTCCATATAATATGCACTTTAAGAACGTAATTTAAATGCTGGTGAGAATACGGTCATTGTTCACCCATGAATTTAGTTTTGGGGAAAGGCCAGCTTCCCCCCCCCATTTAGGGTCTGCCTCTTGAGAATGGTAATGGTTTTTGTCAGGCATGAGCATTAAAGTAGCAAGGAAGTAGCCCTAGTAGAGGCCAGGGGAATGTAAGCACATCATGTGCACCGGCACTGTGTAAAAATATAAAAGGAAAAAAAAACAAGAGAGCGTAAACAAGAGAAGGATGACCGGAGTCATGAGAAGGATAACACAAGAGGAAAAATGCTTCTATAGAGCAGGATGGATTCCATGACAATAATACTCATTCTGACCCTGAGCTCTGGCAATGGAATATACAAAATAAAGTTCCTGCTATAGTAATCAACAAGTAGGAATAAACAAGAGGGAGGTGCACAGATGTGAGATGACAAAATAATTCACAGAAACGAGACGAAATACGATGGGTCAACAATAATGTTTATGATGTCAGTATGAGTGGATGATGATTACTGTAATATGAATGCATGGATAATGTACAGCAACAAAAAATATAGATGTAGTGATGGGTACAACCAACATCATGGAAAGGGAAAAGTGGAGGAGTAAATATGGCATAGATCCTGCAAAGGAATAGATGAATAAAACAAGCTAGAAGGGTATGAATAGATAGAGCTACTTGGAGGCTTTTCTATCATTGCCATTCCCCTCAGTTTGACTTCTTGGAGGGAATGGGACACCTGAATTATAAAGCTTCTTTGGCAATGTAAAGCACAATCATGAAACATTCGCATCAATCGATAGTTTTACATTAAGCTTTACTACTTAATTCAGCCACACAAGTACAAATTTAAGAAATGTTGGAAGTTGCTTGGTTTACGGTCTTAAACATAACATCTGAATTACTCGGATACCAACGCATGGATTGTTTTGGAATGAATTCCTCACACTTCACCAAGGGAACAGGCTACATTAGGCAACCTTTATCTATTTGCACTAACAGTCCAGTTTTTCAGGGTAAATGTGGGCCAAGTAGCGTAGTACTGAATGTGTTCATGCTTAATCAAAACTCCTTGAAAATAATAGAACCAATACTGTAAAGCCCCCAAGGTTTTCCTCTAGCTATTTACTGGATACACACACACCCACTCACACATATATTTACATATTTTCTTTTTCTTTACAGAGTTTTAATATCATAAACCACATATTCATTCACACCACAACCAGATATAACGATGATAATGAAATTTGTTCTTCTCAAACGTATCAATAATACACAAGGAAATTTTTTGCATATAAACTTTGAAGGCCTACTTGTACGTCATAGGGTCACTGTCGAACACTAACACTAAAGCTCTTGGGTTTCCTCAAGGAGTGAGGGGGGAAGGCAGGAGGCAGCAAGATGGTTCTGGTTAGGACTGCCCATGATGTACGGAGCTATGCATATATGAGCATACATCCCGATGCATTCAATGATCCAATCATGAGAAATGCACACCTTCTTGTATTTTGTCAGCATTTCTAAAACAGACATTAAATGGAACAATTTTAGTAAATCCAGAATGTTATGAGGGTAATGGCCTACAAAATATTAATAAACAATAAACATTGAATATGTTTGTTGCTTGATGTGTACTTAGTTCTGACTTCACATACATAATGCTGTAACTTTATTAAAATGCATAAATAATAATCAATAAGCATAACAAATGACCTGCATAAGTGCATAAAAATGCACTTACAGCACTCACCATCAGCATCATGATTGGCTTCTGTCTGAACCACAACAAGCTTCATGCACTGTTTATTCTTGCTGAATTTTACAGGAGAATCAACTACTTGAGCTCCACACAGCTCTATCAGTTCCTGTTTGTTGGAGAAATATTGGATTTATAACAGTGATACCTTAACCCTTAAAATGCAGTTATCATATGTTGATTTCAGCTATTATTATCTCGGTTTTACATGGACGATGATAATAGTTCTAACATGGATGATAATAGCTCTATATGAATGAAGTATTCACCTAGTTGTGCTTGTGGGGGTTGAGCTCCGGCTCTTATGGCCCGCCTCTCAACTGCCAATCAATCAATCTCATTTTTTCTACACACACATACACTCAGGAAGCAGCCCGTAACAGCTGTCTAACTCCCAGGTACCTATTTACTGCTAGGTAACAGGGGCATCAGGGTGAAAGAAACTCTGCCCATTTGTATCCGGCGCTTCCGGGGATCGATTCCCGGGCCATAGGATTACGAGTCCCGAGCCCTGTTCATTCAGCCACCAGGCCCCAAGTGTAGTTTACCTTGACACATGAACAAATCCTGCTATCATTTCATAATTACCTTATTATATAAATGTGGTCATTGTCACACGTCTTCCTAACCAATGAAGTAATGATCTAAGGTCAATATTAAGATTGTGTGGCTCGGCACAGCATGTTTCGGTGACAGATGACGCAAGTGCCACGGTCTGCCACATGCTCAATTTGTATAAACAGTATATATACATATGGTTGTAATGAAGTATTTCATGTGTTGAAAAAGTATTGAAACATTGTAAACAGTGTACATATAAACATTATTGCCCTAGAGACATTATCCCTATTAGTTAGTAATATACTCAATCAATCCCAGTTTATGTGAATTATTTGCTCATAAAACTAGTTATTCAACACTCCTACTATTATGTTTTCTTGGAAGAGCCCTTTGTGGCCTGTTGAAACTATTATCTCTGATAGAGTGTCATACTACTAGGGCCCATCAGTTGCGAAGTTCTATCGCCTACCAGGTACCAGACAGAACCTGGCCCCCCCTCACAAGAGGTGCAGGGAGCAGTAGCATTTATATATTAAGTTATTCACATATGCAACCACTGAGGAAGGCACCCAGAAAGTCAGCAAAACAAAACAAACCACTGCTGGCTTTAAAGGAGACCACAGCCTCCTGAAGTCTATGACCATCACATGCTTACCCACTCCCTTAAAGAAGCAAGACAATCATCTGAATGATTACCTAGACCTTGATGTACTTGGATGGGGTTTTTAGGAGTTCTCCTCCTCTCCAAGCCTGGCCTGGGGCCAGGCTTGACTTGAAAGAGCTTGGTCCAACTGGGCTATTGCTTGGGTTGGCCCGCAGGCCCACATATCCACCACATCCCGGTTGGTCTGGCACTTCTTGAAGAAAACTACTGTATCTAGTTTTCTCTTGAAGACGTCCACATTTGTTCTTATACAGGCAGTATAAGAACCACGACAATATTTCTTATACAGTACTCGCTGGGAGGATGTTGAACATCCGTGTACCTCTGATATTCAAGCAGAGTTCTCTGATTGTGCCTATGGCAACCATGCTCTTCACTGGTTCTATTCTGCATCTTCTTTCATATCGTTTACTTCAGTATGTTGTTATTTTACTGTGTAGATTTGGGACCTGGCCCTCCAGTATTTTCCATGTGTATATTATTTGATATCTCTCCTGTCTTTTTTCTAGGGAGTACTTTTAGGGTGCTTTGAGACAATCCCAAAAATTTAGGTTCTTAATCATGTCTATGTATGCCATATATGTTCTCTGTATTCCCTTTAGTACAGCAATCTCTCCCACTCTGAAGGGGTAAGTGAGTATCGAGCAATACTCAAGATGGGACAGCACAAGTGATTTGGAAAGTACAGTACAACCATTGTGATGGGAACCCTGGATTTGAAGGTTCTAATAATCCATCCTCTCATTTTTCTGGCTGACGCAATATTTGCTTGGTTATGCTCCCAAAATGTTAAGTCGTCAGACATCATTATTCCCTTACTTGAAACTTACTTCCAGCTATTGTAATGGCTGATGATACTTGCAGCTGATGGACAGAGGCAGTGCTATGAGGCTATTGTGTTAAGGTCAGCCAGCAGTGTCACTGCCATAAGCTGGGGTAAGGTTCTGAGGGAACCTGCCCACAAATATATGTATTTGATGTTAACCAGAAAACACACTAGAAGGTGAAGGGACGACGACGTTTCGGTCCGTCCTGGACCATTCTCAAGTCGACTTGAGAATGGTCCAGGATGGACCAAAACGTCGTCGTCCCTTCACCTTCTAGTGTGTGGTCTGGTCAACTTACTTTAGCCATGTTATTGTGACTCATCGCCTGCATATGTTTTTGATACTCTTAAAATTAATACAGATTCCCATACCTAATATAGTGTATCTAAGCCTAGAAAAGTGCTCACCATACCTTGAGCTGTTCCGTGGTAACTTCAAACAACGGAGGTTTAACATAAAACTGACAATCTCTGAAGAGTGGTTTGGGGTTTGTGCGCCCTCTCTGTGGTCCGGGAGCTCCTGTGCAATCTAGTACCTCATAGTCCTCCTGTAAGTACAAATATTAAATTACAGTACTGTATTAATATTCAAAATACAGACACTACAGTATACAGTAGAAGTATTGGTACCATATTTGCCTAAATATAAGCTCCTTTGAGTAAAAAAATAAAATGAGAGTTTCAGACGTATTTCATGGAAGAATGAGACCCCAATTCTGTAATGCATTTTGAGGTTGAGCAATCATTTTAAAGCCTCACTTCAATATTATATTCACACCCAAAGTTACTCTTAACACATGCTTTAAATGACATTAAATTCTCCTTGAAACTCACTATCTGCACACATATATCTTTACTAACAGTACAAAATTCTATGGAGGAGAACAAGGAGCCACAGTTGCAATGTATGGTGCCCGTATCTCAAAAAGTTCATAAATAAACGGGAAAAGGTTACAAAACTTTTTTACAGCTACAAAATGGCTTCCAGAACTGAAAAACAAGAGTTACGAAGAGAAGCTAGAGGCATAAACATTGCAAAGCTAGAAGATAGAAGGAAAAAAAAAAAAATTAGAAAGTTTTCTCTCGCAAACAGTGGTAGACAGTTGGGAACAAGTTAAATGAGAAAGTAGTGGAGGCCAAGCCTGTCGGTAGTTACGGAGTGTTATATGACAAAGAGTGCTAGGAAGATGGGACTCAATAAGCATAGCTCTCATCCTGTAACTACACTTAGGTAGTTACACTTGGGTAATTACACACATAGCAGCTGTGTCCTCCTTTTTTGGAGACCTGGAAATGACCACTCTAGCTCTGGGTGATTCGTTGGTTCGTTGAGCATTTGTGTGGGAGCCTCAACTTTGCATAGTTTTCCAATGGGTGAGTCTGGCTCTAGGTACTGGTTCCTCCAAGTCTGTCCTTTTTGCCACCTCTCGGACCGTCTCAGGTTCAGGGCCCGCCATGCCTCTGTCAGCTCTTGCTCTGCCGGCTTCCTCTTTGGGTCTTTCACGATTCAGTTCCATGGTTCCATCCTCTGTTGCTAAATGTGTTCATGGATGCTTCAGCTCTGGGTTAGGGCTTTGTGACCTGCACACACCAGGTCTCCTAAGGTTGGTGGTTGGGCTCGCTCCATCAGGCACACAGCAAGGTGGGCAAGTTTTCACAAGTGTGACAAGCCCTGTAAAGGATTCATCTTCCTCTGGGCTCTGTCATCTGGCGCCATGCTAACTACTACCTAGTTGTTCATTTTGTGAATTGCAGGGAGTCATTTTCGTTTTTTCCTCATAGGAGCTGGACTCTTGTGGCAGCTCAGCATCTGGTTTCTCTTGGTTTGGTTCTCCATGCAATTCACGTGCAGGGGATGCGCAATGTTTTTGCAAACGGCTTATCTCACTTTTGGCACATTTCCACAGAGTGAACTCTCGATGACATGCCCTATTGGCTCTCTGCGTGATGTTCACTCACCCTGAGGTGGACCTCTTCATTTTAGCTTAGAACAGGTAGCTTTCCTTCTGCGTGACTGTTCCCAGATCAACAGATTTTCGTGGTGGATGCCTTATGGGTCGATTGGTTAAAGCGGTGGTTCATTTATCTCCTACCACCCACCAGTTCAATTGATGGCTCTGGGTGCTGTCCAAGTTGGAGACGTAAAGCCCGCTGAACTGAAAATATGGGTTATCTGGCCAAAATAGGATTTGGATAATTTTATGCCAAACTTCGCCATATCCGAACAGAAATTTAGATAACCGGAGATTTGGCTGGATAACGCAGACTGGCACAGAATCCAAGTCAAATTCTGATAATTTTCTGGCAAATATTTACCATATCTAAACAGAAATTTAGATAACTGCAATTTGGGTCACGTAAATTTTCAACAACACATCTCAAAATCTATAGTATTACACAAGAGGACAAACTACAATATGGTAAGCTAAAGTTTCTCTTTTAAATTATATTTTTGATTAATATTATATGTGGAAATAAGAATGGTGGTTGTGGTACAAAATTTTTTGAATACAGGTATAGTCATTTCGTGTAGTGCTTTCAGTCTCTTATCTCCTGCATTAATGGAGTGGAGTGGGTAGAGGGCAGAGGGGATTGGGCTGGAATTCACCTTCTCACTAAAGGCAAAATTAGCTACGGTCTTATCATACTTAAACCTTCTTTTACTATATTATTCTACCCCATTTTCAAGCTGTTGCCTCCTCACTCTACAAAACTGAGAGAGCTGGAATTATAAAACATGAATATGAACAAACTGTTTATTATCTACTAACCTCTGGAAGAAGTTTCTTTGTGGAAAGTGAATCCAGTACCCACTGAAGTGTAATAACCCAACATCCTGCTGCCACGCCAAACAAGTACTTGAGAGTTCGTTGAGCCAAACAGTCTGGTTCAGTTTTCACTACTACATGAGTGATGCCTTCACCCCATGATCTTTTGACACACGATCCAGGGACTCCCAGCTTGTTCACTAAATCTTGGACTTTCCCCATTTCTGAAGAGGTGAGACCAGTGCACACCAGCTGAGGAGGACCAACGATACCACTACGTACAGCTCTTGCTGCTTTTCTGAAAAAGTTAGTTTGTCACTTTATTAATAATCTTTTCTCTGCCAAGTTATGGTTAACCACTGCTACATAGTTATGTTTTCAGTCATAACAAAACTATTTGATTTTACAAGATGCTAGAGCATAAAATTATGCAAATAAAAGTAATACTGTGCAGTGGCACCTCTCAAATCTGGTCCTCCTTAAAAGTATCCCTCTAAACAATGGTCCAAATTCAACCAATATATCTTCCCTCCAAATTTAGATTTTATTTTTAGAATAAAGTTCGGATTGTGGAAGGGAGTTATCTTGAGAGGACATCTTGAGATGATTTTGGGACTTAACGTCCCCGCGGCCTGGTCCTCGACCAGGCCTCCTTTTTGTTACACATCTCCCAGGAAGCAGTCCATAGCAGCTGTCCAACTCCCAGGTACCCTATTTACTGCTAGGTGAACAAGCGCATCAGGGTGAAAGAAACTCTGCCCATTTGTTTCTGCCTCCACCTGGGATCAAACTAGGAACCTCAGGACTACGAATTCGAAGCGCTGTCTACTCAGCTGTCAGGGGACCTGTGAAACCTGGATCATTAGGCAAAGTAATTTCAAACAGCTCATACTTTTTCTAAAATGTTTACAGGCTAGTGTTCTTGTTAATTAAATTGAGCTTTGGCCTCACACACGTGGGGCCCGCAGATTGAGTCTCCTAGAGCCCAGGTGAATGGAATAGTGTTTTGTTTCGTTCAGTGGAAGTGTCAAAGACCTCCCTCCTCCCCCCAAATGAGGGGGAGGTGGGGTAAATGAGCTGGCACCAGTTTCAGGAAATTTTGATAGATTCTTTACATTGCCGGGGGGGGGGGGGGGGGGGGGGGGGTAGTTTATAGCCGTTTCTTGAGGCTGTGGTCTCCTTTAAAGGTCTCTGTGGTTTCTGGCTTTGAGGTGGCCTAGGATACCAACTGGTGGTGGTGAGGCATATCACATTCAGAGTATTTACCCTTGCAGCCATGATTGTTTGCCTTGTTTACCATGTGCTGCCTAACTTCCTTCAATTGATTGAGTGTTTTGTTGTGCCTAGGCTTTCTACTGGAGGTTTCCCCCCAGCTTTGTGGATGATCTCTGATCCCCTGCTTCCCTCAGCAGAGTGCATGGTTCTGGTCCTGACCAGCACTGTCTGGGACTTGATAGGCTGTTGTAGTACCAGAGTTAAGCTTGGGAGCCACTGTGGGCTCCCTCCTAAGAATTGTAATGAAATAGTAACAAAGAGATGGCCTGTTGATAAGCATTTTAAATCGTGTTAGAATGAGATCTATCTATCTTGAGATGATTTCGGGGCTTTTTAGTGTCCCCGCGGCCCGGTCCTCGACCAGGCCTCCACCCCCAGGAAGCAGCTCGTGACAGCTGACTAACACCCAGGTACCTACTTTACTGCTAGGTAACAGGGGCATAGGGTGAAAGAAACTCTGCCCATTGTCTCTCGCCGGCGCCCGGGATCGAACCCGGGACCACAGGATCACAAGTCCAGTGTGCTGTCTGCTCGGCTGACTGGCTCTATGTTACATGAGCAGTGTGTTCATACAGATTTGAACCAAGAGAGGCCCTTGAATCTGTTTATGTAACCTGCTGTGTACATTTCTATAGCTTCGTAGTATAATCAGCATATATTAGTTATCTTACAAATGTTATGCTATATGTTTTGTCAATAAAAGTCTCACCACTATAACTAAGTTTTAAGTTTTTAAGTCTGAACACCTTGCTACTCGAGCCACAACTGTAATGATTTACATAAATCACTTACACTTAAAAGCTTCTAAATCTAAACATACAATTTTACAAATGTTCAACTAGAAACTTCAAATTATGACCATTCCAATGTTTAAGTTTAAAGTTAACGTACAGATTCATTACCCATCAATCCTACATCATCCTCACAGAAATACATATGTATGAAATATACTGAACACATATACTGAACTGAACAATATACCCCTCTAAGTGGTGAGCCGGTCAGCCGAGCGGACAGCACACTGGACTTGTGATCCTGTGGTCCCGGGTTCGATCCCGGAAGCCGGCGAGAAACAATGGGCAGAGTTTCTTTCACCCTAGGCCCCTGTTACCTAGCAGTAAAATAGGTACCTGGGTGTTAGTCAGCTGTCACGGGCTGCTTCCTGGGGGGTGGAGGCCTGGTCGACGGGCCGCGGGGACACTAAAAAGCCCCGAAATCATCTCAAGATAACCTCAAGATATAACATAGTAAGGCAGTAAAACTGTCAACACAAACACCAATTTGGAATGTAATTTACTAAGAAAATGCAAACAAAATACATAGCATCACTAACTTTTGATTTTTTGTCTGATTATTACTCGGTGGTAATTTGGGTTCAGATGATGCAGTGAGATCAGGAAGACTTGAGAACAGTTCCTCGGACTCGTCACCACTATCAACTGCTGGGCAGGTAGGAGGCAGCACATCTTCTATTGGATATACATTTCCTAAAGAAAAACAATACAAATGACCTTTTCAGCAATGACTTTCTAATAAACTCTCTATTTTTGTAATAATTTTACTTATGCTATTTCTCTTCAAATCCTGGCAAGATTGTCACATAAACTATATTTTAAGCACTGAAAATACATAGCAGATTTAGACACTAATACAGATTGCAAAAGCCTTCACATTCAGCCATAAGTTAAAATAAGATCATGAAACTCCCTAAGTGTGCTCTGCCTTAGTAACTCCCTTATGCTTATGAGACAATTTTCTGTAGCTACCCATCTTTGAGGCAGATGAGTAGATCCCATCACACAGGGATCGCAGACAAAACCAGTAGTGAGGCAAAGTGTTTTAGAAGCAATGAAAGGCATCCAAACTCCCTCTGGGGAAATTGCAAAACTGACTAAAACAAAACGGTTGAGAAATTTTGAAAAGACTTTCTAGAAGACTCTTCCATTTTGGCCAGTTTCACCGACTTGCTCACCCTCACTCTTGAGCTGAGACATGTCATACCGAACAAGAGTCCCTCAGGGAAGGAGCTGTATATGAAGACATCAAAGTCTTGTTAACACTATGTCCAAGGACTAGGGTGGCTCCAAAGGAGGATGAGCCAGATGCAAGTGAAAGCAAGCTTCACAGATAATGCTAAGGCAATATTCAAATTAAAACCTCACAACAGAGGCTCTGCTAAAGCTGAACAATAAGAGGCATCAGAATTCTGCATAAGCCATCTCTCCACAGACTGCCAGAAGTGGCAGGCGATCACAATGGATAATGACAAAGATCCGGTGAAGAGCCAAAACTAGCGAAAATGTTCTCCAAATCATCACATACCACTGTCTCAAGGAGAGATGAAAAAACTAAGACAGGCACCTGCCTATGGTGATGGTACAGCAACCCTGGAACTCAAGATAGCAGAGATAGACAAATTGCCAAGAACCATACCGATTGGGTTGACTATCAAATGATGGCGAGAGGCAGAGCCTCAGAAATGAGCAGAACTGAAAACCATCTCGGGAAGTAACCAGACAAAATACATCCTCTATGTATTGACTCACGCACTGCACAGTCTAAATGAACTAAATGGTGATAAATGATATAATTAAACTCAGTTTTCTAGCTTTATTCAACTTGGTTCCCTACATGATGTCTGAAAAAACACAAATCAAATGTATCAGAAGGGAATTACAAATCAACATAATAATGAACCCTACAACAAGAACAAATTAATTCTGCAAGAAACGAATACAGTATAATCTAATGAACAAGATATTTAGAAATATCACATTCTTCCCTCCTATTGATTGATTGCTAATCATAGACATTGAAGTATGTAAAAACTAGCTTTGCCGCAACTCCCGCCTCATGGCTGGCTCGGGGCAACCACCCACGGGCGAGTGTTCGATGAATGTTCACGAATTGTGACATCACTGTGAGACTTCCAGGCTTCACTATGGCCAAAGTCAGTCACATATGTTTTTTTGTTATTATTTTTCCCATGATCAGGGAATGCATTTTACCAATATTAGAATGATTTTTCCTTGTGCACTGGGAAGATGTCAGCTATTAACAGGTGCACAACCCAAGGCTTATATGTCATATATTTTAGGATGGAGGTATTTTCCTTCTTGCCTCTGATGATCTGAAAATTCTTGGATGAGACAATAAGTATTTCTGGCTAGTTCTCAAAATTTAGAAGAAATTGAATGAGGAAATGATAAACAGAACAGGAGGAGGGTCACCCGAGAGTACACATACAACCGTGATAGGATTTCCTGTGTGATTATCAATGGATGTGATAAACAATAACAGGTTCTTGCTGATGTGAATTCCCCGTATCCAACATGGGCTTTCTCTTAAGATGTGCAGCATTGCCACGTGACTTATTGAGGTGTTCTTGAGATCAGCAAAGTGCCAAATTTTTGTTTTATATTTACTGTTGAGGGGGACTGGTGGAGACAAGGGTGTCCGCAGCCTCACATGATTGAAAGCGATCCAGTTTGGACATACGATCTCTTATTGGTGTTCGAAAAAAGCCTCCGAGTTTAGTGAGTGAATCACGAATGAAGGTAACCTCTAAAGAATTAACCCCGTTGCACTGTTTACAAGCACATTGACATGCCCCTGATGTAAGCCACTCTAAGAGCTAGAACTTATGAATCAAGAGTCACATGGGAAGAGACTGATTGGAACCGGCTGAGACAAAACAGCGCTGAAGAATACAGTTGCATTGCGAATCCCCTGGAAAGGGTGAATGGCCTGCAGCTCAAACCAAACAGTAGTCAGCTCATGAATCATGAAGAGTGCCTGCTGCATATGAAGAGGCAACTTGCCATGACCAGTATGGTGAGTGCTAGAAACAAACTCTCCAACAAAGAGCTGAAGCATCCATGAAAAACTGTAGCACAGGTGGGGGAAGAATGCCCCAAAACTGCAGGGCCCCCCAGGGTCTGCACCCAACGGTCCTGGCAGTGGCTAATAGGGCTTCCCCCAAGAAACCAGATACTGTAGTCTAGGATGAATTAAAGTTTTCTCCTGTGCTTCCCAACCCCCTTATATGACTCTGCAAGGACATTTGAAAAGACTCCTGCCTTGCTTGTGCTGTTGGAATTTCATCATGCATAACAGCTCATGAACCTTCTCTATGGGAAAGCAAATTCTGACCTAAGGGAGCAAGTGAATGTGTCTGCTCATCAGTTAGCTTTTCATATTGACTGATATTTACAACACTTGGACTTTCTTCCAGGTCTTTCCTAAACTTTCCTTGTAAAGATCCATGTCCACTCTGACATGAAGTATTGCTCTCACAACCCTGCCACAATGTTGTACATGACTGAAGTATTTACTAGTCATGTAAAATAAGAAGCTTGTGTTTAATAAAAAATATTAATGCCTCACCTGTTTCAGAACCTTTCTTCTTTTGTATTACAGCTTCTAATTCTCGAACTCTTGCTTTTAATATTTCAACCTCATCCTGTTATGAAAAAGTTTGAGGTGAAATACTGAATTAAAACCAACAACCTGAAATGTGTTTCTAAGCACCACTGAAACATTACTGATTTCCTATGATAAAAGATACATGAGATGCGGTACATGATACAGGAAGTTATCAATAACTTCATGGCTAAGGTTAGTGTATGCCCTGAAAATGGTAGCTGTCCTGGCTTTCTCTACTCCCAAAAATGCACAATGCCACACTTCAGGTTTTCACCAACTGCACTCGAGTTTATAACATAATGTCTAGGTCTAGATAATTCATAAGGCCAAAAGTTGGGAGAAATATTATTTACTGACTATTTATGCAGAGGAATTACTGTAATTGGTAAATTTAAATCAAACAAATTACCACACGATATCAAAACAAAAGCAGCAGACCATGTTTTAATTAATTAAGTAGCTTAAAAAACTAGCATTGAATGTAATGAAATGCCTCTTTGTCTACCCTGTGACTAGCCACACTGAAATAGCTCCATACATATAAGCCACATCTGCCCCAGGAGTCCTTAATAGCCTGCCTGAGACTACATGTCAAAACCTGACCCCTTCACAGAGATGCAGGGAGTAGCAGATTCATGATCACCCTCACTGAATAAATAACCAGCAAGGAAGGAATCAAAGGAAATCAGACAACTGTGAGGTTCATGTTCACAAAAGTATACAACTCGACAAATAACCCACGCAGTAGTTAGGTCATAACATTCCCTAGTGTGGTGGCCACTGCTGGGGTGGTAGCACCAAGGGAGCTGCCGGCACTCGATGTTAACAATCATCATCCGTGCGGAATCCAAGAACCAACTGATGCATCTGGTAGGGAAGAGCACAGTGAGCTACTGAGGCTTGAAAGAACCTTGAAAGCAGAACCTTGGATTAAACAGGATGGGCCAGAATGGAGGTCCAGGGACACCAACTAGGAAACCCAGCCACCACACCAGGTGGACCTGAGCTAGAGTGGTCATGCGGAAGGTCAGATCCAGAAGGAAAAGAACCAAATCCGAGATGGAAGGAACATATCGTAGGACCGAAGAGTTCTTCACAGGGACCAGGAATAACTGGGAACCCAGTTGCAAAGAGATAGCAAAGAGATGAAAACCTAACCAACACAACCAAAATGCAATGACCGAAATGAGTAACAGGAAAAACAAACCCAAGAACAGACGAGGAGTCACAGTAACGTGGCTGAAATATGTTGACCAAACCAAACACTAGAAAGTGAAGGGACGATGACTTTTGGTCCGTTCTGGATCATTCTGAAGTCGATTGTGAGAATGAACTTGAGTCACAATCGACTCGAGAATGGCCCAGGACGGACCGAAACGTCGTCGTCCCTTCACTTTCTAGTGTGTGGATTGGTCAACAAACCAAACCACCCCAAAACTGGAGGATGGGTCAAAGACCACCATTATCACAGGCCCAGGGAAACTACTAAGAAAAAAAATACCCCCCAATATGGGACTAGGAGCTGGCTTCCAAGAAACTGTCCCTAAGAGAAGACTACTCCGACCATTAAAAAAAGAGAGCATGGGCAAGCACAGCATGCGGCATGCTAGAAGAGCTGCAAATGTCCGCAACTGCCTCTTGAAGACGGGGGAGTGAGTCACTTGGGCAAACCTCTGAAACATGCGCTGCAGGTCACCTTGGAACAGCGCAGAAAACAGACTAATGGCAGGAAACAAAAGTCAAGTGAACACGAGAAGACCCCCATGAACTTCTGCACCCAAGGAGAAGCAAAGAGCAACTGCACAAAGAGCTCCCACATGCCCATCAGGGCAGGTCCAGAACATAAGGGCAAGGTTCCAATGATGCAAATAAAATACACACCAAAAAAATTTGATAATAGAGTCCAATTCATGCCACTTGAGCGAATGGACACAGTGGTAAGCTTCATCTTTCAAGTGTTCCCGAGCAGCACATTCTTTGCTCCACTCCTGAGCTGTGTTTGCTCCGGTGCTTTCCAAGGATGTAGGAAAGTGGTAGCTCCATTGGTAACCACCTGCACTGTCCGAGGCCCTTATTGCTCCAGACCACAGGGTGTATATCCACCTTGAGGTGGTCTTGCCTGTTTTAGATTCCTTGTGGAAGGGCTCTCTGAGCTTGCCCATGAGGACATGACATTGCTGGGGTCCACTCCAGGGGCGGAGGTTGTGCTGTCTCTCGTTTCAGTCATCTTGGTGGGTTTGCCCGTGATGTATGCCCCTTTCCTTCAGAAGGCAAGGGCAGCATTTTATTTGGCCTGCCTTGTATGTCAACAGGTTGTCTTGACCTTCTATTTAGATTTGGCTGTCTCTTACCCTTTTCGACTTCTTCCTTTTTTCTCCCCCTCCTCTTTCTGGAGGAGGTCGTTGCTTAGGTTGTTTCTGAAGCACTATTGATCATTAGTTCTGTGAGACGTTTGGTTGTCCCGAGGAGGACTTCTTCACATCAACATGGAATCAGCACCTTTTCTCCTCCAGGGCTCCATTCCCTAATCATGATGCACTTGCTGTCGGTGTCTTTTGACTGAACTGGTTGAGATAGAGGTGTATTATCCTTTTTCACCAAGTTCAGTTGTTGGTCTAGGTACTATCCAGTCAGGAGTCATACTAATGGAGGGTAATCCTTCTGGCTCTCGGCCCAGCCTCGATTTCTGACACTACTGGCCTAGTGTCCACCAAACTCTGGCATTTTTCCATAGTTCCACCTGAATCTTTCCTCATGGCAGAAGTATGAAGTTGCCTGGCACTTGTTTCACCACCACTTGTCTGTCATCTTTCCGTGGTCTTGGTCAGGTTTGTCCTGTCTTTCTCTTCATGGTTGTTTCTCGATTGGCTTCTCATGCTGAACTGTTGCCGCTTATCGTTCACGAGATGCTTTGGGCCATTTCTCCCTGCCTGGGTTCTTCTCTTCATCCTAGTGTCTGCCACCTCTCCTTCCTGTAAGTTCCATTTTTGTTATCTGTGGATAGTCAGCTTTAGAGAACTACTAGGGTGCTCCCTCCAGAAACCCACCATTGAATGTAATGAAATACCTCTTTCTGGTAAAGCCCTGGAGACTCCCTGATTTCTCCCCTCCCTCAAAGTTAATCAGTTCATCGTGGGTTGTTCATCAACTCCAAAACTGAGATGGGGAGTCGACTGAGGGCTGGAGCCAGGCCTCCTGGAGTGGTAGTCGATACTACTGAGTTCAAAGTTAGTTTAGGAGACTCCCTTGTTCTGTGTGAATCATTTGCAGCGTTATTTGGTGATTTTGAAGCTTCATTTCCTGTATAACCTCCAGTTGTCTGTAAAACTGCACCAACTTTCTGGAAGCCTTTTCTATTGGGATGGCAGATTGCCACTCACTCCCTGCACTTCTGTGAGGGGGGCCAGGTTCTATCTCTAGACCCGGATTCATAAAGCAGTCACGCAAGCACTTACGAACATGTATATCTTTTCTCAATCTCTGGCGGCTTTGTTTACAATTATTAAACATTAAATGAGCTCCAAAGCACCAGGAGGCTGCTTATAATAATAACAACAGTTGATTGGCAAGTTTTCATGCTTGTAAACTGTTTAATAAATGTAACCAAAGCCGTAGAATATTGAGGAAAGTTGTACACTTTTCTAAGTACTTGTGTAACTGCTTTATGAATCTGGGTCCTGGTCTCCAGTAGGCCAAACAGAACTTCTGCAACTGAACAAATCAGTTCACTACAAATCACTACAGTACATTAGTGTAGTGTAGTGTACTGTAGTGTGCCTGCAACTGATGTGACCCATTAGCTTGGAACAATATCAACAAGATAGCTTCAGGGAGCCACCAGAGGGACTCCCCCCAGAAAAGGTCCAGGACAACTTAAGGAAGAGTGAGAAGGAATATCTATCTAAAACAAGTAAGAGTGATTTCCAAGGCTGACCATAGGTGACAACATTGGTTATGAGACATCGCTCCACAAAGAGCCAAGCCTCCCTCATATTGATGCAGGAAAGAAAGATACAAATGTGACATTAAAAAGACTGCAAACAATGGGAACCTGACGGAACACTGCGGATGGCACAACTGTACTAGATGCTTGACTGATGGAAGCAAACAGGGCCCAACAATAATGGATCAAGGACATGAGAGCCCAGCACAGATAACCAAAACTCTGGAGGGGTCGTAGAAAAGCAACAAACAGGACAAAGATGCTGATGAAGCCACGGAAGGAGAAACCAAGCAACAAACGCTGAACCTTCCCTCTGAAAGGTGAAGACCCAACTACTGAAAAGAGGTAACAACATTGGGCATCAGATGACATTCCCAAAACTCCCTGACAAAGGAGACACCACCAGATGAAAAGAAAATGGAGGCAAATGCCAAAGCGACACAAGAATGTGGAAGACACGCTGCACCACCATCAAAAGGACAGCTGCAGAAAAAAAAACCTTGAGCACCAAACAGGACACTGGAAATCAAGCAAAAAAAATCCACAAAGACCGGCAGTGTGTTCAGAACCATCGAGACAGGATACCTCACGGAGTCACTGGGAAATGCAGAGCTGCACAAAGATGCTCAAGGGTGGACACAGAGTCCAAGGATTAAGAAGTTCCAGCTCACCCAACCTTGGAGTCAAAAGATACACCAACAGCACTCTTGGTGCCAAAGTGAGTAACTAGCCAAGCTACAACAAAACCCCACATTGTGGCTGCAAAGTGGACCCCAGTCAACTGTAACATCTCAACCTTAGGAAATGAAAGTGTGACGAAAGGCAAAGAAGAAACCACACGTGCCTCCACACCACAGACAAAACTGCTTGCCAACACTTTAAGCCAGTCCCTAAGAGGCCTGCTATTGGGTTCTACATCTGTCAGGAGCAAGGCAAGCACCCAGAGCACAATCCATGCCATAGGAGCCAAAGCAGGGTGACCAAGCCTACCAGTAGCACAGTCATTAACCAGCCTTCTCGGCCAGTTCTGCCTGCTTGATAACTGGTTGATGGGGTTCTGGGAGTTCTTCTACTCCCCAAGCCCGGCCCGAGGCCAGGCTTGACTTGTGAGTTTGGTCCACCAGGCTGTTGCTTGGAGCGGCCCACAGGCCCACATACCCATCACAGCCCGGTTGGTCCGGCACTCCTTGAAGAAAACAATCTAGTTTTGTCTTGAAGATGTACACGGTTGTTCCGGCAATATTTCTGATGCTCGCTGGTAGGATGTTGAACCTACCGCGGACCTCTGATGTTTATACAGTGTTCTCTGATTGTGCCTATGGCACCCCTGTTCTTCACTGGTTCTATTCTGCACTTTTTTCCATATCATTCACTCCAGTATGCTGTTATTTTACTGTGCAGATTTGGGACCTGTCCCTCAGGGGAAAATAAATAGCAGCAATTTTGCATCAGACATAAGTAGTGAGAGTGTTTTGGTTAAGATAAACTCCAAAGTGTCATCTGCTAGGTAATGTTTTCGTAATTTTCTTGGACAAAGAAACCAAATCCATTCCAGTTTCCCCATAAATAATGTTAAATATGGGAGAAATTTAATATATGAATATACAATCTGGACCAACCAGTCTGTAGTGGATATGTAGGGCCTGTGGGCCACTCCAAGAAACAGCCTGTTGGATCAAGTTATCACATAAGAACAAAGGTAACTGCAGAAGGTCTATTGGCCAATACGAGGCAGCTCCTATCTATAACCACCCAATCCTGAAGGAATTGGGTGGTTCACAAGTCGAGCCTGGTCTCAGGTCGGGCTCGGGTTGTAGAAGAACTCCCAGAACCCTATCCAGGTATTTATCACGACAATCATAAATAACATGTAAGTGTCGCGAATATAAATAAAATATTATAAATTTTTAAGGACTGGTTAATGGGCCACCCATCACCTTGCCTCACCAAGCCACACCTTGCCTCACCAAGCCACACCCTGCCTCACCAAGCCACACCCTGCCTCACCAAGCCACACCTTGCCTCACCAAGCCACATCTTGCCTCACCAAGCCACACCTTGGCTCACCAAGCCACACCTTGCCTCACCAAGCCACACCTTGCCTCACCAAGCCACACCTTGCCTCACCAAGCCACACCTTGCCTCACCAAGCCACACCTTGCCTCACCAAGCTACACCTTGCCTCACCAAGCCACACCTTGCCTCACCAAGCCACACCCTGCCTCACCAAGCTACACCCTGCCTCACCAAGCTACACCCTGCCTCACCAAGCCACACCCTGCCTCACCAAGCCACACCCTGCCTCACCAAGCTACACCCTGCCTCACCAAGCCACACCTTGCCTCACCAAGCCACACCTTACCTCACCAAGCCACACCCTGCCACACCTTACCTCACCAAGCCACACCCTGCCTCACCAAGCCACACCCTGCCTCACCAAGCCACACCCTGCCTCTTCCTTATTCTGACATAATGAACCAAACCACATTATTTTATCATACATAAAGATAAAAACAACATGTGTAGTTTTCCAAGACTAGGAGCAATATATAAGGACAAATTTGCATCATACATAATATGAAAGTGAAGGAGCGTGGGGCGAGGATCACAAAATATAATTGGCTACTTAATATTTTCATAATTTTCTTGGCCAAATAAACCTATCCTTGCTATCTCATCTTAAATAAAGTGAATGATGTGAGAATTTAAATATTTATTAATGGAAGAATTGCTAAGAAATAGCCTGAAAAAAGTTAGAAGTTAAGCAGTTTTGGTGTGTGGGATACCCGAAGCTTCCTCACACCCAGCATTATCAAGCCTAAATGATGTCAACACGATCTTCCCCTCAAACACCTGGATTTTCAGATATCAGGACATGTGAAAGTACCAATTAGTCTAGATAATCAAGGTCACACTGAATCAGCTAATAGGACAGTATCAGTCTTGGTCAAAATATTGTATCGGTACACTTCTATGTACTGTACAACTATTGACAAAACTAAATGGTGTATACTAAAACTATAGTTAATGAACCAATTTGACCAGAGTTGTTTCTATGATGCCATGTCTGATAGTTTATAATACAACATACTGTTAACACCATGCTACTGAATCCATACAAGATAGTTACCTTAACTTGTTTTTGCCTCTGTGTGCTTACAGCTTCACTCTGGGAAGAATATGCACTGCTGTGGCTTATATTGTCCATGTCATCCTCAGTCTCTTGATCAGAGTCTCCTACGCTATTTGGAGCTTGCCCATCTGCGCATGAGAGAAGATATAAAGTTGGATGCAATGAAATTCCCATTTCTGAGCACTTAATCAACACCTGTCCTGAGCTCAGGCACAAGAACCATAAGGTCTACCAATTCTTAACCATTAAATCACTCTCAAATGATTGGATGCTATGCTCGAATATAACAAATAGCAGTACAGTTTATCACAAGTAGTTAACGTTAATATTGACCCTCAGAATATGAAGGGAAGGGAATATCAGGGGAAAACACCAAGCCATTATGACTATATAGCACTAGGAAGGGGACAGAATAAGGATTTGGGATGGGACGGGGGGAAAGGAATGGTGCCCAACCACTTGTGGACGGTCGGGATTTGAATGCCGACCTGCATGGAGCGAGACCGTCGCTCTACTGGCCAGCTCATTTCATTTCAGAATGTGAAATGAGCTGCTCTGACAGTAACGTAAGTGAGGGCTGAGGAAGAAGGGGAAGGTGGGGACTGACATGATGCTGCACTGACAACCCTTATACTTCCAGTTGCCAACTGGGGTGTATTTCTTGCAACAACATCAGAGTCTGCTGAAAATGAAGTGATCATTAATTTTGTTGCTAGTAGTGATAGATAGGATTTTACAGGAAAGAGATGGTTGGGTTGACCGCATCTATCTGGACCTAAAAAAGGCTTTCGACAGAGTTCCCCATAAGAGGTTGTTCTGGAAACTGGAACATATTGGAGGGGTGCCAGGTAAGCTCCAAACATGGATGAAAAATTTCCTAACTGACAGAAAAATGAGGGCAGTAATCAGAGGCAAGGTATCGGATTGGAGGAATGTTACGAGTGGAGTACCACAGGGTTCAGTTCTTGCACCGGTAATGTTCATTGTCTACATAAACGATTACCAGTGGGAATACAGAATTATATGAACATGTTTGCTGATGATGCTAAGATAATAGGGAAGATAAGAAACCTAGATGATTGTCATGCCCTTCAAGAAGACCTGGACAAAATAAGTATATGGAGCACCACTTGGCAAATGGAATTTAATGTGAATAAATGCCATGTTATGGAATGTGGAATTGGAGAACATTGACCCCCACACAACCTATATATTATGTGAGAAATCTTTAAAGAATTCTGATAAAGAAAGAGATCTAGGGGTGGTTCTAGATAGAAAACTATCACCAGAGGACCACATAAAGAATATTGTGCGAGGAGCCTATGCCACGCTTTCTAACTTCAGAATTGCTTTTAAATACATGGATGGCGAAATACTAAAGAAATTGTTCACGACTTTTGTTAGGCCAAAGCTAGAATATGCAGTGGTTGTGTGGTGCCCATATCTTAAGAAGCACATCAACAAACTGGAAAAGGTGCAAAGACATGCTACTAAGTGGCTCCCAGAACTGAAGGGCAAGAGCTACGAGGAGAGGTTAGAGGCATTAAATATGCCAAAACTAGAAGACAGAAGAAAAAGAGGTGATATGATCATTACATAAAAAATAGTAACAGGAATTGATAAAATCGATAGGGAAGATTTCCTGAGACCTGGAACTTTAAGAACAAGAGGTCATAGATATAAACTAGCTAAACACAGATGCCGAAGAAATATAAGAAAATTCACTTTCGCAAACAGAGTGGTAGACGGTTGGAACAAGTTAGGTGAGAAGGTGGTGGAGGCCAAGACCGTCAGTAGTTTCAAAGCGTTATATGACAAAGAGTGCTGGGAAGACGGGACACCATGAGCATAGCTCTCATCCTGTAACTACACTTAAGTAATTACCAGAACACATACAATCACAGCCAGAGTCAACACCTGAATCAGAAGAGCTCCAGGATATTTCAAATTCCTAAGTATTGTAGAACAGGTTGATGACCATGAGTGGTGTGCCAAGAAACAAAAAAGTGTAGTGTATTTGAAAAAACCAGCGTTGAATGTAATGAAACACCATTTTCTGGGCGAGTCCCAGAGGCTCCCTGGAGCTATCCATGGCTGATATGGATACTCTTAACTATTTTGCATCAGTCATGTGGGTGGAGTTTTAGGCCTACCAGGGACCACGAGCCAGAATCTGGCCCCCTCACAGAGGTACGGGGAGCAATGGCCCATAGAAATGCACATGTGATTTGGAGCATTCTATATCTGCCATCGACCAGGACAGGCACCCAGAAAGGTAAGCACCACAAAACCCCTATTCTGGTTAACAACAAAAATCGACAAACGAGTGGACAGAACTCCCCAAGAAAAACGAACAAACAAGCATGAAGCCACACAAGCCGCGCCATATGTCTGCGCAGCTCCCCCCTCCCCGGGAAGGGGAAGGGGGAGCCCCAGACTCCCACGCCGGTGATCCCCGCCCCAGTTCTGAGGTTGGATATCAAAATCGAGAAAAAAAACGCTGTCCGGAGGGCGGGAGGGTGCCGGGGAGGCTCCGGGACTCACCCAGAAAATGGCATTTCATTACAGTCAACGCTGGTTTTCTGGGGGAAGCCCCTACGGCTCCCCGGAGCTACTTCACCAAAGACTACCTAAGAAAACAAGGGGACATACCCGGGAGGTGGGCGGTGCTCCACTCCTCAACACGAAGTCGAGACAACTGGCTGCATACTCTGACCTAAACCAACACAGGCCCGACTGGGCCCAGCAACGTTCACAAGGGAGTGCGCAGCCAGGACTGTCTGAGCGCCAAAAACCCCGTGCCCGAATGTCAGCCCAAGACCTATCGCCGAAGACGGCAGCTAGAGCAGCAAATTTACAAACGTCATAGACACGGGGATAGACCACAGGCTGGCTAGATGTAATAACCCCGCGGACTACCTGAGACCCGAACCCGTGAACAGGGAAGAAGGGAAACCAGATCAACACAAAGCGCTTCCCTGGACACAGAAGCCGTGGCGCAAAGATAACGGCGGAGGGCCGCAACCGGACACAAGGTGAACCCCTAGCCTGACAACCCAAGCAACAACAACCCAAGATCCCCTCCGGAAAGCAGCAGGCACAATCTTCGCCAGAAAAAAGGGAGATGGCTGCAGATGAACAAACCTATGACCACGACCATAGGAGCAAAAAACCACTGCGCCTGAGAAGAGCACGAAGATCCGCCACATGACCCCCAGAGGTCAATGCCAACAGAAAAAAAGCCTTAACAAAGCAATCCTGAACCAAAGGAGCCACAACAAACCAAGGAGAAGAAAGACAGGAGAGCACTCTGTCCAAAGACCAGGACGGCACAGGCAGTGCATGAGCAGGCCGGAGGTGAAACAACGCATGAGACAGCCTGAGAAATGGTGCAGAAGGAACATCCGATACCGAAAGCTAGCACTCCGCCAGCGCTGAACGATACAGGGCGACAGTATTAGGCAGCAGACGACAGGCCTGGAACAACCAAGAGAGAAAGGACAACACCACCCAAACCGAAAGCGAAGAACAACAACGAAGGGCCAAATGAACCGGAAGGACCACTAAGAAACGTCATACTGCCGCCGAGAGGAACTTGCAAGTGAGAAACCAACAAAGAAGCCAACTGCTCACCATAGGGATGGTGAGAAACACAAGTCAAAAACACCAAACACAAAGACTCGTGGAGAAGAGCAAACCAGACTCGTATCGGACCAGCCCGATCTCCAGAAGAGGCGGAGCCGTGGAAAAAGCTCCGGGTTCGGACACCGTGGAAGCAGCCCCCGGAAACCATGGCTAGGCTGGTCACCACGGGGCCAAGAAGACCACACGACCCTGGGAAGCCTCCAAGCAAGCCAGGACCAGGAATAACAGCTGAACCAGGGAAAAGAGGTACAGGAATCCCCATCTTGACCAGACCCGCCGAAAGGCGTCGAACCCGACACCCTTGCAGTCGGGGAAGGGCGCCACGGAAAATGGAAGACTCCTCGACAATGCTGACGCGAAGAGGTCCACCTCCGGGCGCCCGAACATCCGGCAGAGCCAAAGGAAGGAGTCGGCGTCGACCGACCACACCGTGGACAGGGGACGAACCTGGACAGGCCAACCACCAGGACGTTAGACACCCCCCAGGCGGCAACTGCCAGGAGAGCCAAACCCTGAGAACTCGGCAGACGAGTCACCCGAAGGGACCAACCCTAAAGAGCCAAGGACCACATCGAACCCCCTCGATTCAGGTAAGGAACCACCAGGGAGCAGTCCGAATAGAGCTGGAACGACGATCCGCGGGCGACCCGAACCCTCCAAAGCGCAAACCATACAGCCGCGAACACCCGCACCGTGCAGTGGACCTGACGGAAGGACGGACCCCACTGCCCCTGGCCGACCTGGTGAGCACTGGTCACAAAGCCGGAGCCTAGCGATGTAGCATCTGGGAACACGGCGAGCGAGGGCTCAGGCAGGCGCCAAGGCATTGAACCCCGAAAATCCGTAGATGAAGCCGGCGACGCAAAGTCCCCGGGGTCGAACCCAGCGATCGCGAGAGAGGCGGAAGGGACGTCCCCGAAGGAACCAGAACAGCCGACGAAGCCAAACCCAACCCAGTGGGTAGAACAACATCGCGAAGCTCAGGATCCCGCACAAACCCTCGAGCAACCGCTGGGTGACCTAGGAGCCCCCCAGAAACAGACACAGGCAAGACCGCAACTGAAGGAGAGACTCCGAAGGAAGAGACAAGGAAGCGGTCCAAGTCCCACACAAGACCCAGCCAGGACTGAACCTGGGAGGGAACCAACGGGATTTCCACCAGTTCACCAGGAACCCGAACCCGGCGAGCTGGGAAAACACCAATCCCTGGCGAGCAGACACGCGGACCGACCTGGAGCCCAAACCAGCCAGTGGTCGAGGTAAGCCATCACCCAAACACGTAACAGCCGCAAACGGGCCACCATGACCTGGGTAAGGTGTGTGAACACGTGAGGTGCCAGATACAACCCAAAGGGGAGACAAAGAAAGGGGTAGCACTGACGCCCCACAACAAAACTGTAGCAACGCCTCCCGCAGGACCGGCGCAAAGAGCTTCAACATGGCAGATGACGCCCGAGCAGCAGAAACCAAGGTGCCAGACCCAGGAACGTCCCCAAGCGCCTCTACATCCTCCGTAAGCCAATCCAAAGACAGCTCCTGAAGGGAAAAGAAAAGCAGGACCGAAACCAAAAAGCCACGAGCGCGCAATTCCACCACCACAAGTGCAGCCGACAGGGAAGGAACCCGCACAAAGAGCCACCCTGTACCAACATCCCACAGAAGGGCAGGAGCGAAAAGACGCTCATTAAAATGTGCAAAACCGCCCCCAGGAAAACCAGGACCACCGTCAATGCCCCACGCCACTCAAACATGCGGTCTCGACAGAACGAGTCCCAAGCATCCAGCGAAAACAAGGAGCAGTCTACAAGCCAGGACGAACCCGGGACCTCACAACGCACCCGGTAAGGACACGACGATCCAAACTCGAACGAAGAAGGAACCATTACGGAGGCAAACTCCGGGTCATGCAAGAGGTAAGCTGCAAAGGCCAACCGCACTGCAGGCGAAGAGATGCGGGTAGCCGAAAACCTCCGGAAGACAGAACCGAAGAACCACAGGGACACAGAACTAAACCTAGGGAGGAGCAGAACCCAAGTCCAAATCGTACGCAGAGGGGGGAAAAGAAAACCCCACTCCTTGCAACAGTAAGCCCCGCGCAGAAGGACGGAAATCCAGGCGGGGTCCAATGGAGTCTCTCTGAGAGAGAACTCTATCAACATCATAGGCCCGAGACTGTTCAACACGCTTCCACTACACATAAGGGGCATAACTGGCCGACCCCTCACAGTGTTCAAGAGAGAACTGGATAAGCACCTCCAAGGGATACCTAATCAACCAGGCTGTGACTCATACGTCAGGCTGCGAGCAGCCGCGTCCAACAGCCTGGTTGATCAGTCCAGCAGCCAGGAGGCCTGGTCGACGACCGGGCCGCGGGGACACTAAGCCCCGGAAGCACCTCAAGGTAACCTCAAGGTAACCTCAAGGTAAGGTAGCCCAAGGCCCCCAAGGCCGCTCCTCCCCAACCCTTTGAGCCTCTACACCAGGCCCCGGGGCCGAGTCGACCTCCAAAGCCCAGGACTCACAAGATAAAGCCAGGGCAGCCGAAAGAGCTGGAAGAGAAGGGGCCCACTGGTCAGACCCCGGAGCATTGGCCGGAGGAACAGACTCGAATGCCTCCGCAGCTACTCCGGACGGGGCAACCCCCGAAACTGCCCAAGTCTGGGTCCCTATACAAAGTGGGGCAGCCTCGGGGCGTCCAGGGAAGCGACAACCTGGGCGCAACCCAGGCAGCCCTGCAACGCGCAAGCTGCCTGCACCCAAGGGAATTCATCAGCAAACTGGGTAAATGGAGTCACGAACAAGCAACAAAGCTCGCAGGACTCAGGGTCGAATGTGTCACCGACCCAACAGGCAGCATGACGGAGGCAAAAACAAGGAGGGTCACCCTGAGACAAAGGGACAGAGCAACCCTCAACTCGCACAAAGCGAGAGGGGACGCAAGGGTCTCCACTGTCGGACCCGAGAGCCCCCGGGGGTTTCCCAGGGCCCCTAGACTGGGTCTGCCAAGGGTTATCCCAGGCAGGGTACTGCTAACCAGACCACCAAACTACCAAGCAAACTGCTAAAGCTGAACCCACGGGACGTGTCTACCCGTGAGGGCGAAGCAGGGGGTGCCACCACACAAATGACCCTATTATAAGGGGGAGGGGGAAACACAAGGCAGACCCCCCCTACCAGGCAAAAATAAAAATAAAAGAAAAATCACACAAGTGGACAACGCACCCAGAGGGAACAGAGCCGGCCGCTGTTATAGGTGAAAACTAGCTACGCAGTACCCTGCGCCCCACCAGTGCTATAACTACCACTTACCCCAAGGTAAACAAGGGAGGAAAACCCCCAAACACTCGGGGCGGCCAAACGCCAAGCAGCGAAAAGCCAACAGAGGCAGACCCAAGGTGACTTGTGGAAGGCAACCCCAAGCCCCAAGGGCAGTACTTACAGGGCACTCAGGGAAGGTGACCCTAAGCACATGCAGCCCGAGTACCTGAGAATACTACTCCCAGCTCACACGACCACCGTAAGAGCAGCACTGCAAACAAACAAGTCACAGCACTGAGACAAGACCGGAGCTGGAGCCACACGACCGTGCACTATCCCATCAGCCGAGGAACTTGGGCAGGGATCGCTGGCGCGGGGGTCTGGGGCTCCCCCTTCCCCCTCCCGGGGAGGGGGGAGCTGTGCAGACATGCAGCGCAGCTCGTGTGACGTCATGCTTGTTTGTTTGTTTTTCTTGGGGAGCAGATATAGAATGCTTCAAATCACATGTGCATTCTATGGGCCATTGCTCCCCATGCCTCTGTGAGGGGGCCAGGTTCTGGCTCGTGGTCCCCGATAAGCCTAGAACTCCACCCACATCGACTGATGCAAAATAGTTAGGGTATCCATATCAGCCATGGATAGCTCCAGGGAGCCATAGGGGCTCCCCCCAGAAAATAAGTAAGATAACATGAACGTGCCAGGGGAAGTGAAATAACTGATCACCGGCAATAATAATTTGCTCTGTAAAATTTATAATTATTCTAAGCAGTCAACGGATTCAGAAAATTTAATAAAGCAACAATTAAAAATACTATAACAATATGATTATTCTTTAATAACATACCAAGTTCAGCTTTATTGTTAGGATGTGATTTTGTGCTGTGATTTGATTTTGTGCAGTCTTTGGTTGTTACTGTCCCACCACTGCTTTTCTCTTCAAGCGGAGTACAAAGATCTTCAAATATATTGTTGTCAGTTTCAAAAAGAGCTTCGGCCTTTGAGAGAGATTTATCCACCTTAGTAAATAAATTTTTTGTGCTGCTAGAGAATGTCGAGTCCTGTGATGTTACAATGATCACTTCAGAATCGTCAGCCTCTCTCTCACGCATTTTTCGGATTAATAACATATCTGCATTAACATTCCGCACAACCTCAGCTGTGCTGGGGATCTCCTCATCATCTGAGGGTATTGAAGAGGTTACTGGCAGAGGTTCATCTTGTTCAGCAATATCACGTAATTTCTGTGACTGCCCATCATCATTACTGATCTGAGAATTCTGTTCATCTGTCTTACTTATTGCATCTTCATCAGGATATCCAAAATACTCCCAAACATTTTGGTCAAGTCTTTCCAAATCTCTCATCTCCTCAGAATCCAAAGGATGCTGTTCTAGACTTTCAGATTTTGTAATGCAAGTTTTCTGAGCGGCAGAAGACTGGTTACTACTGCTGCTTGATATAACTTTAGGTTTACGTTTTGGTGGATTGAGGATTGCTTCTGAATCACTTCCCTCAGAACTGGAGTCTGAATTTGCTGGTTTACGAATTCTTTTGAACTTCCGTTTAGTTGGGATTAAAGATTCTTTCAGAGGAGTTTCATAATCAGTATTTTCTGGATCTTTGTTACCAATAGGAAAGTTGGCAGTTTTCTGGAAATCGCCTTTTTGACTTGAGTTTGATCGGTTAGATGAATCTGAGAACAATGGTTTACTATTAGTAGATTTACTCTGAGAGATAATGGTTTTTTGACTTTCATGTGGTAGATGATTTTGAATTAGAACAACTTCTTCCTTTTCATCAGGCAGCATCTTTGCATCTTTCGTACCTTGCGACATAATATTTTCTAATGCTGGCTGACCTGATTGCAATGGTTTCCTTCTTGGCCTATTGATAGCTGGCTGAAAGTTACCGGTATTCTTTAGATTTTCTTTTTCAAGCTCCACCAACTCGTCCTTTATAATTGACTTGGTTACGATTCCCTTTTCTCTGTATCTCTGACTTCCTTGAGTTCGTCTATCATTCTTTTCCGCTGGTATTCCTTCAACCTTGACATTTTCATTTGAAGAACACTCATTCTTTGAAGCTCGAGTTACTTTGTTGTCGCCGACATCGCTAACTCCCAGAAGACTAGTCGACTCTTGACTACTGACATCAGCAGCTCCAAGAAGGCTTACTGACTGTTGGCTGCTCTCGGAATTCTGCATCTGATGCGATAACGAACTCTCACCATATCGTGTCAGACTTCTCAGTGCACACTTGTCAAGGGGTATCTCTGAGGACGGGGTGGAGGATTCTTTTATTAAGTGATCAGTATTTGAATCTTTGACGCTCACATCCGGCACATCTTTCTGTGTAGATTTTTCACCATTAACCGAGATTTCCTGATTCACATTCGTGTTTCCATCACTACTTTTAACTGCTTGTTGAATAGTGGAATTTCTGGGCTGCAGATTTTTGACACAAGTATTAATGTCAATATTGTTAGGTAATGGAAGTGCTACTGCCATATCCTCAGTGCTGTAGCTGCCAGGTATTACCTCACTATCGTGTACAATTTGACTAAGTTTAGTCTCCTCAGGTTGCTCAGTAATATGCTCTACCATTATCTGCTCATGATCTTCTGTTGATCTCTCAGCCTCAACTTCACACTTCTGTGGAGCAAGTTGACTGTTCAATTCATCATCATGATCAACACTGTTGCTGGTAGATGCCACAGGTTCAGAGGGCTCAGCAGTTTCCTTGGTATTGCAGGTCACAGTTTTACAACATTTCCTGTAGAGGAGAGCAAACTGATGTAAACATTGCTTTGAAATGATTATTGTTGCAGAACAGTCATTTAGTCTGCTCTGTCAGAGTAAGGAATGATTGGCATTGTATCTTAGGTTTCACAAAAGCTAAGATCATGAAAGGAGATTAATAGAAACAAGAGCCAGAACCTGGCCCTCTAGCAGAGGCACTGGGAATTGCTACAATCATCCTCACCAAGACAACATTAAAAAATCAGCGTTGAATGTAATGAAACGCCATTTTCTGGGTGAGACCCGGAGGCTCCCCAAAGTTATTCGGGCTGATATGAATGTATTAGACCCTGGCATCAGTCAATGTGCATGAAGTTCTAAGCTTACCAGGGACCATGAGTCAAAACCTGGGCCCCTCAGAGAGGCACGAGGAGCAATAGCCTATAGAAACCCCCATGTGGTTGGAAGCATTCTGTCTGCCATCGACCGGGTCAGGCACCCAGAAAGGTAAGCAAATTAGTGGACAGAACTCCCCAAACTTCCCAAATGAAAACGGGCAAACGGAGCATGATTCACCACGTCACCGCGATGCTGTGTATCCCCCCCTCCCCGGGAGGGGGAAAGGGGAGCCCCAGACCTCTGCGTCGGTTATCCAAACCCCAGTTCTGAGGCTGGATGTAAAAACACGCAAAAAAAAAAAAAAAAAAAAAAAAAAAAAAAAAAAAAAAAAAAAAAAAAAAAAAAAAAAAAAAAAAAAAAAAAAAAAAAAAAAAAAAAAAAAAAAAAAAAAAAAAGCCGACCAGAGGGATGAAAAGGTTGCCGGGGAGCCTCCGGGTCTTACCCAGAAAATGGCGTTTCATTACATTCAAGGCTGTTTTTTTGGGGGGAAGCCCCTTTGGCTCCCTGGAGCTAATTACCCAAAAAGTAAACAAGAGGGACTTACCCGGGGGGGTCAGTCAGCCCCCCCGGTCAGTCGGTCGGCCGAGCGGACCGCACGCTGGACTTGTGATCCTGTGGTCCCGGGTGCCGACGAGAAACAATGGGCAGAGTTTCTTTCACCCTATGCCCCTGTTACCTAGCAGTAAAATGGGTACCTGGGTGTTAGTCAGCTGTCACGGGCTGCTTCCTGGGGGTGGAGGCCTGGTCGAGGACCGGGCCGCGGGGACACTAAAGCCCCGAAATCATCTCAAGATAACCTCAAGATAAGCCCTCCCCCCTCAACTCGAAATTGAGACAACTGGCTGCATTTGCCGACCCAATGCAACACAGGCCTGACTAGGCCCAGGAACATTAATAAGGTAGCGAGCAGCCAGGACCCTGTTCGACCTCCAAAAACCCCGTACCCGAATGTCAGCCCAAGACATGTTACCGAAGACGGCAGCAAATACAGCAAACTTACAAACGTCGTGGGCATGAGGATAGACCGCAGGCTGGCTGGACCAAATTACCCTGCAGACGATCTAGGGGACCCGAACCTTGGAACAGGGAAGAAGGGAGACCGGGTCAATCCAAAATGTGTCCCCGGCCACCGAGGCAGTGGCGCACAGGTAACGGCGGAGAGTCACAACCAAACACAACATATGATGCACCCCCGGCCTAACCAATCAAGCAACAACCCAAGGGGCCCTCTGGAAAGCAGCAGTTTCATTTTTCGCCGGAAAAGAAAGAGACGGCTGCAAAACAACAAACCTACCACCTGGCCCACAAGAGCAGAAACCCCTGCGCCAGAGGAGAGCATGAAGCTCCCCAACCCGATCCCCCAGAGGCCAATGCTAACAAGAAAATAACCTTCGCCAAACAATTCTGAACTGAAGGGGTCACCACAAACTGAGGAGAAGAGAGAAAGGAGAGCACCCGGTCCAATGACCAGGACGGCTCAGGTGGCGCATGAGCAGGCCGGAGGTGAAACAACGCACGAGACATCTAGCAGAACGGTGCAGATGTAACATCAATACCGAACACAAGCTGCAGTGGCTCCGCCAGTGCTTCACGATACGGGGTGACAGTATTCGACATAAGACAACGGTCCTGGAACAACCACGAAAGAAAGGACAAGACAATCCTATCAGAGACAGGAGTAAACCTACGAAGAGATAAGAAATAACGAAAGGATTGCCAGGAAACTTCATACTGCCGCCAAGACGAAGCACGTAGGAGGACACCATCAACGAAGCCACCTGCTCACAAATGAGTGGTGACAGACCAGCATCAGAAAGACCAGATGTGAAGACTTGAGAAGAAGATCGAACCAGCCAAGTAACAGACCGGGCCATTCTGCTGAAAGGGGGCTGAGCTGCGGGAAGACCCTGTGTTAGGACACTGAGCAAGCAGCGCCTGAAACCAAGGCTGGGCCAGCCACCAAGGGGCCAGAAGGACTACTCTCCCCTTGTAAATCTACAAGCAAGCTAGTTCAAGCAAGCAAGCTGACCTGGAGAAACAGTGGAACCAGAGGGGGAGGGGAAAGAGGTACAGGTAGCTCCCACCTCGACCAGTCCTGCCTGAAGGCATCGACCCCGACAGCGTCGCAGTCAGGGGAGGGCGCCACAAATGCCGACGAGAAGAGGTTCATCTCCGGGAATCCGTACGTCCGGCAGAGCCAACTGAATGAGTCGGCATCGAGCATCCATTCCATGGACAGGGGAATAAACCGAGACAGTTGTCCACCAGGACGTTGGAAACCCTCTGAACGTGAACGGCCAGGAGAGCCAAACCTCGAGAACTCAGCAGACAAGTTACCCGAAGTGACCAGCCCGAAAGAACCAAGGATTGCATCGAACCCCAGCAGTTCAGTCAATGTATCACCGGGGGAGCAGTCTGAGTGGAGCCAGATCATCGACCTGTAAGCGACCCGCATCCTCCGAAGCGACATCCACACAGCCGCGAACTCCCGCACTGTGCTGTGAGCCCGACGGAAGGACGGGCCCCCACCGATCCTGCAAAGCCCCAAAGACGACGCGTAAATGAACACATCGAGCGAGGGCTCGGGTAGGTGGGTCAAGGCACCGAACCTCGAAAAACCTGTAGAGGAAGCCGGCGAAGCAGCAACTGATGCAAGGCCCCCCAGAGGTCAAACCCAGCAATCGCAAGAAAGGCGGAAGGGATGTTCTCGAAGCAATCAGAATACCCGCCGAAGCCGAACCCGACCCGGTAGGTAGATCATCACGGAAAAGTTCAGGCTCCCGCACAAATCCTCGAGCAACTGCCGCGTGACCCGGGAGCCCCCCAGAAACAAGCAAAGGCGGGACTGCTGCCGAAGCAGAGCCTCTGGAGGGAGAGACAAGGAAACACTTCGAGCGTCCCACACAAGACCCAGCCAAGACTGAACCTAGGAGGGGACCAGATGGGACTTCCTCCAGTTCACCAGGAACTTGAACCCGGCAAGCTGAAAAAGAACCAAATCCCTGGTGAGCAGACACAAGGACTGGCTGGGAGCCCACACCAGCCAGTCGTCGAGGAAGGCCAGAACCCGAACCCCTAAGACACGAAGACGGGCCACCATGACTCGGGTAAGGTGTGTGAAAACACGAGGTGCAGGATTCAAAACGAATGGAAGGCAACGAAATCGGTAACCCTGATGCCCCACAACAAATCCTAGCCAGTACTTGAACCCCGGATGAATCGAGATGTGCCAATACACATTCTTCTCTTCTCTTAAGAGAAGATGGACCTGGGGCAGAGGAGTCATCCGAAAGGATGGGCAATAAACCCACGGGTTCAGACGGGACAAGTCCAGAATGAACCTAAAGTCCGCGCAGTCCCGTTTTGTAACCGGAAACAGGCAGGAAACCCACCAGAAGCATGAGGTCGTTTCGACAATGCCCCAGCAAACCCACTCCGAGATGACTCGACAAAGGCAGGAATAGAGGCCTGTCCCACCAACCGCGAACCTCCCTAAGGAGGAGGAGGAGGAGGAGGAGGAGGAGGGCCACCCAACGCCACTGCAGGCCGCACGAAACAACCCGAAAAGCCCACAACTCGTGGGACCAGTCGTAAGCAAACAGAGCTAGTCACCCCCATCGACCCGGCAATGGAACAAACCGCGAAAGAGCCGATGCCCCTCACAAGAACCCGACCTCCGCACAGAGTGATCACTGCACCGACCAGACGAAGATGGCTCCAAAACCGGCACCACTGGCCTTCCACGACAAGAGTAACCCCGCACCCTGGCACGACCCTTCCGGGAAGACCCCTTACGCCCCCTCCCCCCTCCTGGAGAACCAATAAATCCAACATGGAATGGCAACTAGAAGAAGCTGCCTGCAGATATTGCACAACCGCAGACTCGTGAGACGGGAAGCAAAAAACAGAGACACCGCATCCCCCAGGATCGGCATGAACAGCTTCAAAAGAGCAACCGACACACCCACCTCTGAGGCTAATGCACCAGACCCAGGAGTGGTCCCAAGCGCCTCCACATCATCCTCAAGTCAGTCTGAAGGCAGCTTGAGAATGGAAAAGAAGCACAAGACTGAAGCCAAAAGGCCATGGGCGTGAAAGTCCTCAGCGACCAACGCAGCCGAAAGGGTCGTTACCTGCATGTGAAGCTGCACCCCACCAACATCCCAAGGAAGGGCATGAGCAAACAAGCATGCATTGAGGTGTTCAAACTCCCACCTTAGGAAAACCTGGACCACCATATAAGGCTCGCGCCACTCAAGCACGCGGGATCGACAGAAAGAATGCCGTGCTTCCAACGAGAAAAAGGGATAGTTCGCAAGCCAGGACGACTCTGGAACCTCATAATAAACCCAGTAGGGATAGGAATATCCACACACGAAAGAAGTAGGCTCCATTATGACAGCGTAATCCGAGTCGCACAGGAGGTAAGCTGCAATGCCCTCCCGCATCACATGGGGCAGGATGTGGGAGGCCAAAAACTTCTGGAAAGACAGGACTGAAGAACCCACTGAACCACAGAACCGAACCCGGGGAGGGGAAGATACCAAATCAAACTTGTACGAGAACGGGGAATAAGAGAACCTTGTAACACCAAGCTCCGCTCAGAGGGTACAAAAACCCAAGCGGGGTCCAGTG